ATAACTCGTTACACACACTGACTCTACTCATCGCGGAGTATCAATTGCACGGTACTCGGTGATGCTACTTTATGCTCTTTGTATAATATATCTCGTATAAAGAATAACCCGGAGTTTCGATCGTTCGACACAAAGCTTCGCTCTAACACGTAATTAATTAGTCTGCTCGAACCTTTGCTCTACGAAACAATATTAAATGATCAGCCCAAAGCTCTGCTTCCCTCAATGATCTCCAACGACCTGCCTCGAGGCTAATTTTTACCCCAATTATATACTAATTCATGCATGCATATTATCAGCGGAAGCTTAACAGCGTTTTTCCCGAGTTGCGAAATAGTGTGCCATTGGTCACTTGTTAACCCGCGGGTCACGCAAGCGCCGTTCTATATACCCATATTTGGGCGAGTTCTTCTTGGAACTCGGGTCGCCCGGTGACCCTAGCGGCGTAAGCGAGTCATCTCCCTATGATAAGGGAACATGCAAGCTCGTGTTATGGCTTGTTTGCCCAACATTTATTATTTAATTTGTTTATTTATCTATCGCTATTATTTCTTGTATTCATCTTCGCTTATCAGGCGAGCATGAGTACAAGAGAGCTGGGTGTAGGAGGAAATAAATGTGTGCAACATACTTAGATTACACAAGACATTTTTTATTGAACTTCTCTTACAATTATTGCTGCTGGGTGCTGGGTGCTGGCTGGCTGACTGCTGTTAGTGGCTTACGATACACTTCAATTTGCACTGACTCTAACCGGTCAACTATACCCGACTGATTTTTTACTAGTCCCGGCGTAGCTCCGCCGCGTTGGAGGTCTCGAACTGAACTGGCGGACGCCCTCCTTTTTCGGGCCGTATATAACCGAGTTTCTTATCTGCCCTCTATTGATTCGTGCGGGGGCCGATGATCGGGAATTTCCTCGCTGATTGCAGCTTCCAGGAATCCCATGGCTTGCTCTTCACCTAAGTCAATAGCGTAATGCGCAGTTGACTCAGGCGCGGGCTACTGGCCCGGTGATCGATTGTGACGAATTTCTCTGAAAACGCACAATCGATGCCTGTTCTTCATTTCACGAATCGTGTGAAATGGTGAACAAATTATGATCCGCGCGGACTAGGAGCATAGCCAGCGTGGTTCTTATCCACCTTGTAATCCGGTGTACCGGTGTACTGCTTCGTACACAGATGCCTCTTCTCGGAAATTTTCGGACTCCGGATGTACATCGATCGATTGAAATATAGACACCTTTTTGTTTGGGCAGTTGCCTGAGGTGAGCATACGTTGTTATTTCCCAAAAATCTGTGGAGTAAAAGTCACGTAGGCATGACTTTTTACCGTTGGATGTTTGTTGCGCTAGCGATTGCGTTCTATCTGCGGGGGATTATTGCTTTCTTGTGCAGAGCTCGCTCTTGCTTCTATGTGTAACCGTCCGATGCGTTGTTACGCAATCGCGGTCCCCTCGCGTACACGCGCTTGGGCGTATTTTATGCATGATTGCGGGGACCGAGGCTCGTGGCTCTCGCCTGTGGCCGATGGTTGGGACTATTGTGAACGAGACTTGATGTATTTTCATCTGTGTGGGCCAAGCGTAAGGCTTGGTAGAGTGGGGGAACATTCGAGCGGCTTGCTCCGTTCTCGCGTGCAGTGCGAGTCCCAGATGCTGCTGAGACACCAAGTATCGGAGCTAAACAAGTATCGGAGGTATCGTTATGTCGGGGAATATATGTGATATATTTCCCGTCACAACATCATAGTTCGATGTCAACCTATATTTTCACCATCAATTTGACATCTTTGGACCCTACAAAATGTTGAAAAAAGTGTCAGAATAGACCTCTGCATCTAAAAATAGCTTATTTATGCTATTTTAGGATTTGGCACTGTGCGCTAAGTTCTGACCAGAGTTTTTGAGGTACAGACCTCTAGTACGTCTCAGAATCTTCGTAAAATTACACTTTATGGGCTGAGTTTTCTGGAATTTTTATTTAGACCTTTATATCAGTTCTGTTACTCAATATGTGCTCAAAAACAACAATAAATTGTCTTGACTTTTGCTTTTTTTCACATCTATTGGTGTAAAAACTTTTTTATAACTTAAATCAAAGTTCCACAAAACTCAGCCCATAAAGTGTAATTTTATGAAGATTTTGAGACGTACTAGAGTTCTCTATGATGAAAACTGACTGAGAAACCCTGCGCATACTGGACTAAAATGTGAAAAATTAAACTTTCCAGGAGAAGCAAAAGAAAGAATTTATGTTTAAAACATTGGAATCTTTCACTACACATTCTCAGTGGCACTCACATAAATCTCACTCACACTTTACTCATTCTGAGACTAATGTGAGCTTTTTCACATCATTTCACTGATTTGTTTCTATGTAAACTTCACTCAACCCACATAAAATTCAGGCATCATGCGTGCATTCAGTTGCTCAGTGTTGCATGTTGTAAAGTCCTAAGCACAAATGTTTTAGATTTCAAAGTTGCATTTGGGCATTATTATTTCAAATGTCTTTTCTAAAAATAAAACATGCTGTAATGTAAAGTATATTTTAACTGTATCACTTGAAATAAGATATGTTTTACTGTAAATCAATCACTACACTGCAGTACTGACAAACAATATAAACTAATTAAAATTAAGAATCTTTATTTTTATCTAAGGTAATGAACTACTCTAAATTATTATGAAAAAATTCACTTTTCCAATTAACTTCAACTCTCAAAATATAAAACATCGCTCACACAGCCTCATTACACAGCTGATTTATGTTGACATTTTAGTTTTGCATGTGACATTTTTATCAATTGAATCTTCACACGAACAACATAATGAATCTTTTTCTGCTACTTCTGCTGGTGCAGTTAAATTCTGCTATATAAGAGAGGCTAGCTTTTTGTTTACAAAATTGATTCTCAAATTTGAACACCAGAGGCAGCACTAACAGCAGTAGTACTGGCAGCCGAACGCCTTGAAAATGCCCTTTTCGAGATATTCGACTTTAAAAGTTTTCCGGCAATTTTCTCGAGGAAAATGGAAAATTTTTGATAATATGACCCCACCATCAGAAAGCTGAGGTAATTTCCTATCGAAATGATGGGTTACTTTTTTCTTTTAGGTGCATTTAGTAACTTTTACAGCGAGTTAGAAATTGTGAGATTTCGCCTAATAATGCCGCCCGGGCGATCCGCTCGAGACTTGACGTGATGTGGCTTACACACATTATAGTAAAATAAATAATTTGTTTTGAGGGCTGAAAATTTGGGAAATGATACTTCAAATGTCAAAGAATGGAAAGCAAACATAAAAAGAAATCGATTTTTGGGTCAAATTTGGTGTATATCTCCCCTTAAGCTGCTCATTATTGCACCGCGGCGCGTCTATCGCACTCGCTACGCGCGTGCGCTAACCTCACACCGCCACGCTATTATCAGCACCTTATATCTCGGTAAAGGGGAGCCTAAACGTGAATTTAGCACAGTGTTATAAAAAACGTAAGATACTTATGATTCAAGTAGCCCATTCTTAACCCATTAATGACCAAACTGCTTGATTTTTTTGTTGGTTTTCGCAGCGATTTTTTTTGTAGTTTAAGACCTCCAAAAAGTTTCGTATGGACCTATTTCGATGTAAAATTTAATGTCCTTTCAGAAACTGAGCTCAAAATTTTGATTCTTTGCGTAAAAAAAAAGTTATGGCTACTTATACGAAAAAAAACGTAAAATTTTTTGCAAAAAATCAAGTTTTTGATTCTTTTTCACCATGTTACCGTTGGGGAATCACGATATAAATATGATCAGGGGTGATCACGACCATCAAAGTATCGCAGGGAATTTTTATGGAATTTTCGAACCACTACTTCAAACAAAAAATAACTTATATTCTTATAAAACATAACTCATTTTTATTCGAAAACTACTGAATTTAGAGAAAAAGTGCAAAAAACCAAAGTTTGAAAAGGAGTTCAAAAATTCCATAAAAATTCCCTGAGATACTTTGATGGTCGTGATCATCCCTGATCATATTTATATCGTGATTCCCTAACGGTAACATGGTGAAAAAAAATCAAAAACTTGATTTTTTGCAAAAAATTTTACGTTTTTTTTTTCGTATAAATAGCCATATCTTTTTTATTACGCAAAGAATCGAAATTTTGAGCTCAGTTTCTGAAAGGACATTAAATTTTACATCGAAATAGGTCTATACAAAACTTTTTGGAGGCCTCAAACTACAAAAAAAATCGCTGCGAAAACCAACAAAAAAATCGAGCATTTTGGTCGTTAATGGGTTAACACGGCACTAGCACCCTCGCTTCGCTCGGGTGCTAACCGTACCGTGCAATAATGGCCTGCTTCAGTCACACGTATCATAATATACTATCAATCTAGACACACCTCTGACGTTCCTAACTCTTATACATCTTTCATGATTTCTTCAGTTTATCATATTAGGGATAAAAAAATAAGTAACTCGCATGCAAAATCATATGATTATAAATTGCAATCGTGGTCAATCTCTCACATGACAATATAATTTCACCTGCAGTATGAAAAAAGTAGAAAGTAATCTTTTTTGGAACCGGACGAAATGTATATCCAACTCGTAAAGTACCAGACTTGTATTTTAAAGTAAAAAACAAGCCAAATAAAATTTTTTCACTTCACACTTTAGCGAAATCTTACAGTTTCTGTCGGGTACCAAAAATACGAATGACGTTTCAATACTAAAACAAGGCGAAATTCTATGCAAAATAAAATGTTAAATCATTTTATGACGCACCTGAGAGTTTGACTAACAAATGCATATTATAATCACATAATTTTTACAAAAGTGGCCAGAAAAAACCCTATAGAAACATGAATTCATGTTTCAGATGATTTTGCACTAGAGTATTATATTAACATTTATTTGTATGTCTATTATTACATGTACACAGTTCAATTCAATAGCAGATGAATTATCAATCAACTAAATTTATTTATTCGAATATCTTTTTTGCAGAGCCATAGAAATGGATAATCGCAATGCAATATTCTATTGTAATCGTGCAGCTGTTTACAGTAAAATCGGTAATCATCATTTGGCCATAAAAGATTGTGAAGCTGCTTTATCAATAGATCCAACTTATAGCAAAGCATATGGGCGCTTAGGACTAGCATACTCTAATTTAAATGATTTTAAAAAATCTAAAGAGTTTTATGAAAAAGCTTTAGAACTAGAACCTGATAATGAGAGTTTTAAAAATAATTTGCAAATAACCTTAGAAAAATTAGAACAAGATAAATTTTACACTGAGAATCCAAATTCTTCTGTTTCCGGTGGAAATATTGACTTTAACGCATTTTTAAGTAACCCAGCTCTCAGAAATATGGCGAGACAAATGTTGTCAGATCCAACTATGCAAAACATGATGAGTAGCCTAATCAGTAATGAGCATCATGATAACAATGGTCGCATGACAGCTCTTATAGAAGTGTAAGTATTTTCTTCTGTATTTTTCTTCTATTGTCAACATTTTTTATATATTCTAATTTCATTTTTATCTTTCTCTTTCTGCTTTTTATACGTCCAAGCTGTTGAACCCATTATTTAACCCGCTATTTTGGCATGTAATTTTGAGCTATTACGCCGTCTATCTCTATTTTTGAAGGGGCTCTTATCAATTATGGTATTTAAAATCGATTGAATTAACAAATTGCCATAACAAATTGCAATTTCATTTCTAAAAGTATGTTCTTACGATAACAATTTTTTTATTCCAATCTTTTGACCATTTTTTTAAAATGTAATTTAAATGCATACAGATATATACTTGACAATAATTATACTTGAAAAAATTTGATGAGTTCAGTTGAAATAAATTTCGGGATAATTTTTCATTATTTCAAAGACATTTTTGTACTAAAAACTTTCTTCAGAGCTCATTAGTTTTCGCGATAAAAAATTATTGGGGCCCAACCGCAGTGATGGTCCTAATAGCAAGGCCAGAAAGTCCCCCCATGATACGAGTATTGGGAAATCGTAAGCGAAATATACAGCTACCGCGAAATGAAAAGACTTATCCTAATCATTAACACGGGCTTGTATGGGAGCCGCATAGTTATTATAGATAGATTATTTGGTAACCGCTTCAGCCTACTGGCCTAGAAGCCGGGGCCACCCACTCACCACCGGGTTACCGACTATTCAACCTTTTGACAAATCAACCCGACAATTCATCCGGGACATTTCAACCCGAAGAAAATTCATCCTATGACAATTCATCCGGACGACAAATCATTCCGAAAAAAAAAATTGTGAATAAGTATAAATAAATGTTGGATACAAAAATTGTGGAAGTAGAGAACACGATTTATTATGTTACCTTATGTAAATATAATTGTTATGCACGAGCAATGGCGAATTACGCTGGCTTAAAACAAATTTCAACACCATATTTAACGACGTTAATACGCAGACACACAGGACAAAACTAAGCGGCATATGTAAATAAGCTGCTCGAAGTGAGCTGAAATCACACATAATATAATGTTGATACTTACACACACATACACACTCTGGTATATAATCTGCTCGGGAGTGAGCTGAGATCACATAATATCACGTATAGTCACTCACAAATGCCGAAATCAAAGAAAACGGGAGAAAAATGATATAAAATAAAAGTATAATTTTATTGAGGATGAATAGTCCCCCAGGATGTATTGTCGCGGTTGAATAGTCGCCCAGGTTGAATTGTAGGCGATTTTGATTAAAAGACGTCTGTTCCTTCGCCTGTAATCATTAAATAAAGTTTGCTTAACCCTCTATCTGACGTTAATTTCGGTTGCTACAGATGTCTAAGCGAATTTATGGTAGGGTTGTAAAGTTCATTTACTAATACTACGATTTTTCCTGAGAGTTTTGTTAGTGAACACTATAAGTTTCAAAATATTCTACAAACGTGTCTTCTATTTTTCAATTTTTCTTCAAACGTTCGATACAAATCTTTATGAATAAGATTGTTACATAACAATCATCATTTATCGAAATTTAAACAGATTTTTTTGAAGCTTTTAATCAAAATCATCCCAATTTTATTTGTAGATACTACAATAAATAAATTAATATTCATAATAATAATTATAATTTTTTTTCAGAGGACAACAACTCGCACAGCAAATGCAAACAGCGAATCCAGAACTGATTGACTCTATATTAAACGAGCTTGGTCGTAATTCAAACGAAAATAGTTCAGTAGAAGAAAACAATTCTTAGCAGGAGCAAAGTGTTGATTAAATGACAATGTCAGATATAATGTACAATATATCAGTCGAAAATTAAAATAAAATATGAATATGTGATTATGAAAAATGATGTTTTGATTATAAACAATAGTTGAATGAAGAAATTAAAGAAATAATAAATGCTGAATTCGATAAATATGTACGCATTGACCATCTAAAGTGAACCCTTAACAATAAGTCCAACTAACTCCAAAAAAACAGCAATAAAATACATAGACACAGTATTTTTAACAATTTTTTGTCCCTTATTTAGAAATCATCAAGTCACTTTTATTAAAACTTATAAAGCGATTGACATTTTGTCAAACGCCCGGAGACTTTATCAGGATAATTTTATAGCACTGCGTGGCTAAAGTTCAAGTTTAAGGTACGCTTTGCCATGACTTAAGTTGCTCATTATTGCACCGCGACGCTATTATAAATACTTTATATCTCGCCAAATGGGGCCTAAACGTGAATATAGCACTGGCTATGCTCGGGTACTAACCGTTCCGAGCCATAATGGCCTGCTTAAGTCACACGTATCGTTATGTACTAAATTAGTTTTGTATATTAAAATAATCTCATATAGTCTGGTTGAGTTGCTACAAGTCAATGGATCGTACAGCAAACTCTAGTCATAACATAGAAAGCATGGGTCAAGTAAATTTTGGAAGTCTTGGACTAGTTTTCATGTAAACGACCCAAATGTATGTTCTGCTTTTATGTTTATTTCGATTTTAAGTCTAGTCTTCTAAACAGTTCGCTGAGCAAAATAATGCTTTACCCAGTCAATTGATTGTTATAAGTTCGAAACTGGAAAACGCAGTTTCAACTGTGAACCTACTGACTGAACTTGAAGAAATTTCCGCCTGAAATGTGGGGTCGATCAGAGTGAGGTTCAGGTGGTTAAACGCTCCATTAAATTGCTTGATCACTCGCAGATACACATTCAGCCTGATAATTTTTTATTTAAAAGCCGACTGCAAGGTTTTGTTCTACAGGTCCACTGACCAACCTCAATATTTCTGATGAATAGATACTTGACAAAACCTTCTTGGCAATTGGTCTTGAAAACTACATACATTTTATCGCAAAAACAAAAAATTGCACGGAGCATTTGATGACATATATACAAGTTTGTATTGTCTAATGCCTTGTAAACTATAAAATATAATATCTTAAATCAAAAACCCACTAATTTACAATTAAAATCCAGTTATACGGTCATTAATTTGTATCGATTTCGAACTCACAAGGAGCGCTTTTCAGGTCAGTGTCACAGATCTTTACCAAACTTTTTTGGGGGTCTTCTAGTACTCAATACTGGAGATGGGCCTTAGGGCCCATTGGATCAAACTAAGCACAAGGAGCTTCAGTATTGGGTACCAGGAGACTGCAAAAAATTTTTGGAGCAAATCCATGACCCGGACCTGAAAAGCTCTCCTTGCCAGTGTAGCATTGTTTACAGACGGTCAGGTCTAACGTTCAATGTTGCTGAGTTCATTTAGAACTTGGCTATAAACTTGACAACATCAACTGCCAGGCTAGCTGTTTTATACTTATAGTTGCTCGATATTTGTGAACAAGTACTCACGAGTTTTTTGCAGTATGTGAGTGACGAGCGTGCACATAATTTTACGTAGTCTGAGATGTATGCATGTGTGTGTTTTTTTTTCTTACTCCAACCCATTCAGACACTCACCGGTACCGCCGCTTAGGCATTGATACGGTGAGGCCGGGGTTAGTTGAGCATTTCTGCTTCTTCGATGTAAGCCGTTTCCATACATCCCCCATCCATCGCACAGTGATATGCGACGATCAGGGGTTCAGGGACTCATCTTTTTTTTGTAAACCTCCGTACGCTGCGCGGTGCCATCTCTCGATTGTCATATCTCACTTCCGGAGCCGTGGTTCCCCACTGCGTGGCCACACATTGCTGGCATCTCCTCATGAGTTAAGTACTTAGAACTATCTGCCTAGTGCCATCTTGTGAGTGTGGTCTATCACAAGCCTTGTGAGTCCTCGCCTCGGGCTCCTACTTATGGTTATCCTCTTCGCTTCCAGCTCGCACAGTGGTCAGGGTTTTTTTACCGCTTCGGAGGCTGATGACCTAGCCCGGGTCTTCTTTTTGAGTGGTACCCACTCCACTTCGGGCCTGGACTGGACCAAACTTTTTTATAGCTTTAAAAATTAAAACTTCAGCTATGCTGAATAGTTGTCGCAATTTATTTGATTTCATTACTATCATAGCTAAGTAATTAATCAAAAATGGATTGAGATTAACAATTTTAACAATTTGAAAAAAAAAAATTTTAGAGTTAGGCTCAAATTATAAGGATCAGACCGTCATACTTGCCCCTATATCGCAACGTATTTTTCGGCATGCGCCTGCAAGTGTGGCAAACACGCCAACACGCAGTCGCACGAGCACTTGATACGAGCACTAGAGGAGAAGAGAGTCCCGACGCACTCGCGTTTCCCCTCCCGCAGTCAAGCTCATTTGCATACGCGAGAGCAAGTACGCGAGCCTCCCACTTACAGCACCACGAGGCCCGGCCGCAGCAGAGCAGAGAGAGAGAAGACGCCGGACCCCCCACGCAGCATCAGTGACCGACTTACGTCACCCAAGTGATGCATTTCCAGCAATCCGCGCAAATCGCACAAGTTCGCTCTTTGTTGCACTAATTGCGATTTCAGCGCGCTTACCAATTTACTCGATAATAGTGGTGTTACATCCCGTGGTCGGGATTTAACAATAAGCTATTTATTTCTTAGACTTGTTGCCGAGTTGGAGTGATAATAAAGAGAGACTTGATTATTTTGGTTGAAGTTAATATATTATTTTGGTAGTGAGATGGTTTGCCATAATAATAATTATTGATATTTAACAAGCAGCATGGTTCGCTACAGATCACACACGCATACTCATACTCATACTGTTTGCGTCCTAGCTGCTTGGAGTCGTTGGCTGCCTGCGATGTCGCTTGCCTGGTGACGTCGTTGGCTGCCTGCGATACTCCTTGTCTGGTTGAAGTCTGGATGATGGCTGGATCGCGCAGATGCACTTGCCCGTGCGGTTACGATATTTTTAATCGCACGTCACTCCCGTTGAATAGAACAATATTTTATATCTCATTACTGACTATCTGCCTGAGCGGAAGTACAGTGTTGGATGGTACTTTTCGTTGAAAGACTATGAACGTTTAATCACATTTTCGAAAGATTCAAAATCTAAGAGTCTACAGCAACGAATGGCGACTGACTGTACGCCGTATAAGAAATCGGAAATGACAGAGCTTGCGCATAATGGCTCGATGCGCGCCTCACAAAATTGGAGGAACCACAGAGCTCACGATACGCGGTGTGCGATTTCGTAGATATGAAGGAGGACTGATCCTCTTTTACTGTTGCTTATATACACCTAAAGTTGCCCCCGCTTCAGTGGTTGCAGCGTATGTAGCGAGCTCGATATGGGTCAATAATTGACACATATCTTGTACGCGCGTGTATATTAGTAGACCCGGGCCCGCGATCTTCCCGAAATTCGTGAAGTCGCGGTCACCGCAGTTTTACAGCTTTTCTCAGATATTCATTCACACTCGCGGCCGCGCGTGTTCATTTCTTTGCCGTGCGAATTATATTTTCGCAAGAGTTTAATAGCAGAGGCCTAATAAATAGGTAATGGATTTTAAGCCGCTCAATTCGGCATCGTTTACGCTGGCTGCGCGTGTCCGAAATGATGTTACTTTTTAATTGCCGCGTGTGTCATCGGAGTTATGCATAGAAAATGCGCGAGATACATTAAATTGTAATACATGTGTCGCTGCTCGCTAGCTGCTTCTCACAGTTTTATCGGTTTCTTTTATAATTATTTTTTATAGTAAAAGGTTGCATCACAGGCTGTAACAGTGGGAAAGCCACGGCCGCTCGACTTGACGATCGAGGGAAAGGAGAGCGGCACACCTTGACCTATTTAAGGAGCGCACCGGCACAATTTCGGCATTGATAATTGGAATACAACACAAATACCCCCCCCCCCCCCCNCCCCCCCCCCCCAGAGTGTGTTATCCATTATCATTCTTTGCCACTGACTCTAGTTGGTGGCGAAGAAATACCTCATCACAAAACAATCTACCGCTACCACTTAACTGTGTTCGAGTGCGTAAGTTTTGGCGTGAAGTCCTCTCACTACGTATTTCACTCTACGAGAACATACCTCGGTATTTCAATTCTCGACACTGTTGTGTACGAGTAAAGGGACTGACGCAGATTTTTCTTCGTCGCAAGACATAGTTAAATCTCTCCTATTTCCCAATTCCTAGTCGCGATTTAACAGTGTTTCTTTCGTATCCTTCTTTGTGCGCGACATCGTTTTCGATCTAGGTTACGCGAACTAAGGGGGAAGGAAGAGCCTAGCAGAGTGCCCAGCAGCAGCAGCCGTCTCGTTTCCCGTACAGCCAAGCCGTGCCAAGCAGCCCACGTCCACGTCATCTCCAGGGAGATTCCAGCGTCGGCCGTCTCAACATCGTTTTATTACCACTGGTAAACCACTTTGTATCCCCGGTGTAAAAGCACGTCTCTCTCAGTCGAGCAAACGATAATTGTAAAGCTATCGCGAACTCTCTGCGTGTAACTCACGAATTGATCCGATTAATTTACTGTTTGTTTATTTAATTAAAACCAGCGTCAATAAGAAAGAAAGACGTCTGATTTTCTTAATTTTGATTGTTTCATAAATCAACAAATTGCATTTGCCAGTCCGAAACCCGAATCTAATTTCTTACGCACCTTCCTAATTATACAATTTCAGGCGCGTAAGACACACTAAGTGTAAAAGACCCGCCGAGGCTCACCGTGCAATGTTCGCCTGGGTCTGATTAATTATTCTAAAGTCGAGTTCGAGAGCTACAGAGTCTCACCGCGTTGGTAAGTTCTTACAGCCCACTTCGACGCAAGCGCGGCAAGCGACCCGAGCACTAAGCCGAGACGCATACGAGGAGTACTCGTGTAATATCAAAGAGCCGAATACGTTGCAATATATACTTTTAAAAAAGTATTGCTAAGATTTCGAAATTATTCAATTGCAATAATTTCAGTGGGCTATTAGTTTGAATAATGAAAATTTTAGTTTGACGAATACTTGACAAAATTAATTTGATTTCAATAACACCATAGTCGAGATATTGTTAATGGTGTACACGTCGAGACTAACAATTTAAAACTCGAGGAAAATATTTTAAAGTTAGAATTTAATTATGAGGACCAACTTAACATACTTGCTCCCATATCGACGTTTGAAAAAATAATTGAAACGATTTTTGATTATTTTATAGCAATATATAAAGTATATACTAATTTTTTGACCTTGTGTTCCAAGTGAGCCAACAAGGATTATATTTTCGCGAAAAAATAGTTACTACATGAAGAAAGTCTTCATCGAGTCCGGATATCGACCTGACGCGCCGAGCGGACATTCTATAGGGTAATATTCTCGCGTAAAACTCACAATTTCGTGGAGACAGTCTTCTTCAAGTTTCGAGTTCGACCTGGTGGCCTGACCGTGGGTTACCCAGGATGATTGCGAGTATTTTGATGTTGTTATCGAAAGAAAAATCTACATGTTGTTATGGTACGGATAACAATTACGAGAAAAGTCTCGTTATGATAGTGATGTTTCGGTGTACTGCGTCGGTGCGATGACGTTGAATCGTGAATCCGACGTGCAGTGGAAGTTTCTGAGATGTGACTTGAAGAAGCTGTGACTGGTGAAGGCGAACGGGAGTCAGCTGGGGTGATCTCGTTCGTGCCTTTGAAGGTCTGAGAGTTTAACCGTCTGGTAGAAGTTGCTTTCGATCGCTACCTTCTGTAGATCATTCAAACTCTCAAGTAATTCTTCTCCTTAGCCGTCTGTTTGAAAAGTAAGCAATGAACTTACTTTTCAGGTAGAGTGGCTAACCCGTTTCTCAATCAATGAAAATCAGGATTTGTGTTCAACCCGGAACATGCCGGAGCTTTATTTCGATTCGGATAATAAGCATTTTCGGCCACGGTTCATTTGTGGGTTACAAGCTTTTTGCAAGTCCGCCACCTAGCGGTTTGTTTACATATTATATAAATAAACAAAAAGAGTGCGCTGCTGTTATAACAGCGCAGCATATAACAATGTACATTGTTCAATTCAATCAACGCATCCACATCTGCTCGATGCGCAGCGTCTACATGCATATATTTAGCCTTAAATATCATATCGATGATATGAAGATTACCGTGACTGTGGGACTCCGTGAGACCGCGTATAGACCGCACGTTCTGTGTGAGGCCGCTTTCTTGTCGGGGGTTCTTTCTTTCATCACTCGTATTTAGTTAATATTGCGTTTTAGGGGCTGTGCGAATACACTATTTTTGTGTCACTTTTTGCTAGGAATCGATTGACCGAGTCAGAATTATCGTATGGTTTATAGATTTCAAATGATAACATAAGGTCATTTTCGCGGGTCCCCAAATCACAAGTTTCGTGTATATGAGGAGCGTGGAGTGACGCTGGTCTCGTCTGCCAGGCTCACTCCTGATAGAGTCAGCAGCTCGCCGCCGAGGGCTACCGTCAGCTATGCCGTCAGCTCTACCACCAACTTGAGAAATGTTTTCGAGCGCATCGATCAATTGAGACAGTTAATATAGATATTAAAATAAACATTTCTTAAGTTGTACAGCCGACGGCATAGGACGGCAGTCTGAAGCTGCCGATGTTATCGGGAGTGAGCCGCATACTTGCCATTCGGACCGCGACACGCGGGCCCCCCGCCCTTCCATTGCTTTTTCCGAAATTCCAAAATTTTGATTTTGCCCTGAGATACAGCTGCTTCCGTGAACCCTTTACCTATACTTTACGTGATAAATTTTTTTTTCTTTTGCGTTTTCTGGCGAGTAGTGTTTTTGGTCATCTATCGTAACTTTCAGAGAGTATCGATTGAGCTTCAGCACCAGGGTCGCGTACATACACTTCTTCAGAACATCAATGGTTACGGCTACCTCGGATGAGACGATCGAACCAGTAGGTCGCTCTCAAACAGTACTTTTATGACTGAAATTTCGGTAAATACGAAAAATGGAAAAAAATGGGTGCTTAACTGTTCATGCAGAGCAATCTGCCCGTTCGATCGTCTCATCGGAGGTAGTGACCGTAACCATTGATGTTCTGAAGAAGTGTACGCGACCCTGGTGTTGAAGCTCAATCGGTACCCTCTAAAAGTTACGATAGATGACCAAAAACACTACTCGCCAGAAAACGCAAAAGAAGAAAAAATTTAACACGTAAAGTGTAGGAAAAGGGTTCACGGAAACAGCTGTATGTCAGGGCAAAATCAAAATTTTTGAATTTCGCAAAAAGCAATGGAAAGGGACGGAAAAGTCCTACTCAATAAAGCAATAAAAAATTTTTCGAGTTTAAGGTGTATGTGTCCCCTTAAGCAACAAAACAAAAATCAACCTGTATATAATATAAGAACGAATAATTTAAAAAATATCTCTTTAAATATAATCCGATATTTGTATTTAAAAACAGGTCACGTCGCGCAATTACGACATAATTGCTTCAAAGAGATGCATCCCCAGTTGAAAAAAATTGCGTGGATGTCCACGTGGATTATCTACGCTGATTCTACGTGGATCATACAGGAATTCCTCGAGGATCGGACATTGATTCCACGTTAATCGAACATGGATCATATAAAGAGTCCACGTACGTAAGCCTCGTGCATTTATGAGATATCCGCGATGATTTTCGATCAACCCACGCGGCTTTCCGCGAAAATTCTCGTGGATATACGGAAATCCTCGTCGATTCTCGATGAATCCACGAGGATTTGTGACATGTTGATTTTCCAATCGAAATCAAAATATAAACTTATTACCTAGCTTATATCGAGAATCGAACTTACCATTGCAATTGTGTAGCCTATACCGAAGTCCTACTCTTCCACCTGAAATATGATCGGAATTATTTCAAAATACATTTATGCGGAAAATATATTGCAATTATTTCCTAATGATTATAAAAATAACGAAAAGATACAAAACTAGAAAATTTTCACAGCGAATTTGATATTTTTCAATAATTACAGATTGCAAGATGTGCAATATTCAATAACTTATACGCAGAAAGTGACCTAATCCGCTGATTTTGATATTGTTTTTTCGTATAATCTAAAGATATGCAAATATGGCTATTAACATTACCAAAAAGCGCAAATTAAAACTTAATTACAATTATACAATTTTTTTAATTTCCTTCCTTTTGATCGTCTGAAGAGTAGACGGTTGTTTATTAAAATAATTTGATTGTGCCTTTATTTCAGAAGAGGATATAATAAACTGCTAAACTTGTTTTATTTGTCTACAATTTGTCTGCAGTATATGTAACAGTCAAAAAGGTGCACCTTTGAGATCCACACATGTTCTTATATTCTAAATGTAGCTTATCTCTATTTAAATGCTCTACATCTGCATAGTGCCATCTAATGAAATAAATATGTTTTATTTCTCCATCTCTTCATAAATAAACATATAATATGTTGAAAATGAACTGAACTGATAATATAAGTGCATTTAAGTGTATTTGATTGCAATCCTGTTTGAAAATGAACAATCAGTAATTACACCAAAATCACATAATCATCCAGTGTTTCAAACTAAATTTGAGCTAATACAGGAGATGAATATTATCTTTTGTGAAGAGTATCATAAATGTCATTATGAACAATCATGGATGAATACAAATAAATACTTCTTACACACATAAAACACAAAAAAACATTCATACCTATAACGCAAATGTATATATGTATCCATCCATATATTCATTTATGCATACATACACAAATAAATATACATACATACATATGCATTAAAATATGTTCTTGTCTTCAAGCATACTCATGTAAAGCAAAGGAAAATGTTCAACATGTTAAGGTATGAATAGTGAATACAAATGCCACTTAGTTGTATTAACTATACTCAATTATTATCCAAAAAATCATTGTTTTATTCATTTGCCAATACTTTTGTATTAATCACTCGATAAATTATATTTTTATTGTGTCTTTTCTTTGAAGATATTTAATTCTCTATGAAAACAATCTTATTAAAGAAAAACATTAACTATTATTTTGAGTTTTATGAATCACAGGATAAAGGAAGAAAAATGAGATTAATGAATTTTCTGTCTTTCGTTTATAATTTATTTGGACAGATTAATTATCATAAATTATAAACAGTAATTCAATATTTTTTTCATTAGTATAAGTAAGGTATCATTCAAGCACATAGTACTTATTATGCATTTTCATTTGTATGCGGAAGAAAAATTTGATTATTAATTATACTTTACATAAAATAAATGTAATTAGTTTAAAAATATAATAACGATTAGATATGTTTTGTATCTAATTAAAATACCAGTTTTCTTTGTGCCTGCAAATAAAAGTGCAAAATTATAATGTGTTTGAATAGTACCTTATCTTGCTGTGTATTCGAACTCTAAAATCTTAACGCAGCTGCAATAACGATGAATATTATTATAATTAATAGTTCACTAATGGAATAAATCATTTACTCAAAAATAGAGTGATCATAATATTTGAACCTAATCGGATACAAAATAATGACATAACCTGCTGCTCTTAATTGTTTTTACTTACAATTTGTTAATTTATTGTCTTTCAATTCAATTAAAAATAGTAAACTCTGAGAAAGGATACCAGACTTTGATGAATTCTTGAAAGATATCATTAATTTGTATTATGCATTCTAGTAAAAAATCTCTCATACTAAAGATTATTTATAGTAATTTTTGAAAAACTCATTTGATTTCAAAATGAATAAAAAGTTCTGTATCAAGCTAATTGTGATTTCATCACTTTATTTAAAAGTAGAATAATTGAATATTTTTCTTGACATCTAAACCAAATGAATCTACACTTTTCTAATGGTGAGATGAGATCATTTAAAATTCACAATATGTCATTAATTCTAAAATAAAACTTATTTGATGTTAATAATTATAAAGTTACTGATAGCTATCAAAGTTCTTCTATTTTATTATATTTCATTATTTTTTGCTATTTAAAATACTAATATTTTGCATTATGATAAAAATTTTACTAAAAGTCAATATATTAGTGATGGTATATTCATGCTGAATGGTAGGTCAAAAATGATATATCTTTACACATATTTTGTCTTAGTCCAAAACCACCCTCTAATGATAATAGAAATAAAACTGACAATTGAATTTTCATTAAACTTAATAAGTTTAATTCAGATAATTTTTGAAATTATTGAGTTTTAATTGAATTTAATTTATATCTAAATATATCCTGTAAAAGTGGAAATACATTGCATTTGAAAATTATGTAAGTAATCCTTGCGATTCAACAAATAATTGTATGATATAGCAATTTATATATAGAATTTAAATCTTAATATATTAAGAGTTAAAAGAAAGTTAAAAACAATAAATTGGTCATTCATATATATCGATTTAATAAAATTTAGGGTATTAAAAGTTTTCAGGTAAATACTTAAGTACAATTATCTTTTATATTTACCATTACACAATGTTTTATGCATCTTTCACAATTTTTGGAACCGTTCAATCTCTTCCTTAGATAATTTACCCATTTTTATCAGCGTTAAAGATTTAGTTTGCAAATTTCTATAGTCAAACTTAAACTAAATTTAAGCTCATTTAAGAAGAAAAAACTGTTAACCTAAAAGTTCTAGGATTTGACTCATTCAGTTAACTACACTATCAATGATTTTTTATAATTTGTAAAAATATACTTTAATTATTAAATCTATTTTGCTAGTGCAATTTATTTAATGATGAAAAATTAATGAATTTTCTTTCCAAAATTCACGTTAATACTTAATTATATGTACTTCATATTAGAGGAAAAACTCACATTTCACATTGTTTGATTTCTCATAAAATACTTTGCAAAAACTTCATGCACTCAATTATAATACTGCAGAAGCAAGTGTCTCATAATTACTTCTAATTTATTTATGATTCTGACTCTAAAATATGACAATGGTTAATAAAAGGTATAACATAATTTGATTTTTAGTTTATTCACGATGTATAAAATTATAAATAATTAATGTATCATCAGAAAAAATAGTTATGAAATTATCTCTTTAAAAGTTAGTTTGGTTGCGCAAAATTACATTTTATCATTGCCACAAAAATGTTATATCTTGAAATTAAATGATTCCCTATTAAAATTTTTAATTATATTATTATCTATCAAGTAAATCCCTTTACTTGATTGTTCTCGTAACATCTATACAAGGCTTTAATATTTATATTGTCTGAATAATAATTGAGTATATTCTTGTAACAAAGTAAATAAGAGATTAAAATGAAATATATTACATTTCAATGATTGGTTCATAAATACATGGTTTGCTGATTGCAATTAATTACGTCATTGAGCCATACAGATACAGATACATGATTACATGTTACTTGTTTTTTATTCTAAGTTGGAGTGATTATTAAATGGCTTTGCATGTGTAATCAATTAAAAAATTAGACTGGTAAGGGTTGCATCACTGGAAGGCATTAATAGGTCATTACCCTGCCTGTTTTTAGGTCTATTTCAAGCGCATTGGGCATTTCAAGGCATGCATATAATGTTTTTGAGGATGCAGAGGAAAAGTCTAGTTGTGCAATTCAATAAGTGATCCAATTTAGGGGTAGGGGGTGATATCCCTGACTTTCAACTCAAAATCATCTTGAAATATTCAATAAAAAATTATGTTCTAAAAATTCTTTGATTAATTTCAACACCATTTTTCTACGTAAAACTTTACTATAAAATCAATAATTTTTGAGGATAAAAAATAATTCATCAGTAGTACAATATAGACACTCCAAAAAAGGTATTCCTAAACTATTTATTAAAAAAAAAACAATGAATAGAACATAATATTCGTTGTAGGATTGATTAAAATACCTATATAGTTTTACTCTATTTGAACTAGACTCGAGTAGGAAAAATTCGAGTACTCGTCATGTTTTTGAGTTTTAGCTAAATAAATGATACATTAACAAAATTGATTGTTTCCGTTGTATGTGCATTCTCCGAAGTGTAATGTTCTCGCAGTGCTCGTATTTTTGTATATATCGACGCTCTTTACGAAGATCACAACGATTATATGTTAATTTAAATGGAAAAGTGTTATTTTTCACGTAGGACATCGATATATTGTATATACAATGTATGCATATTGTAAAAATATCAGTGCTGCGAGTAACTAACACTCAGGAGCATGCATGCACAGACCACGGGGATATTCATTGGTTTGTTAATGCATAACTTATTTAGCTGAAACTCGAAAACATGGCGAGTTCTCAAAAAAAAACTCGACTCGATCGAGTCGAGCTTTTTTGAGTACTCGTACACCCCTAGTAAAAAATCAAGTAAGTCATCACCTACTTTACCCCTAATAAGGATCATATTTCGAATAGTAAACCAAGATTTATTTAATTTTATTAAAAACAAAAAAAAAACTCAGATCTAGTACAACAGTGGTTGTTGTTCAGTGGGCTTGAAAATAACATATAACATAGCAGAATAATGGGCTATAATTTTTTTTGCTTGACAAAGAAACAATCCAGTTACTTCCAGCAGTATAAACTGGGAGATAGTGACAAATTATATGTGCTGATCTTTTTACTTATGCCCTTAGAATAACTGAAAGTTACATCGATAATAAACACAAAAACCGAACACTATGCTGTATTAGCGCAGCGATCTATTTTTAGATACCTTTTCTTTTTTTAACAAATTTTAGCCTTGCATGTTGATTTTTCAACTTATGCCATTATTAAAAAATAATTGTTTAGCATTAATTACCATTGGCAGTTTTGTGTAATTCACATTTCTCGTGAAAAAACACTGCAATGTTCACAATGTAAAGTGACTGAAGTATCAATGTAAAGAGCATCTTAGAGCATCAAGAGTTTCTGAAGATTATTAGCCGCTTATATTGTTTTTTTTTTATTTTTTTTTGTCTATCATTTACGGGGCTACATTATTTTTAAAATGAACATGGCGTAATGTTCCTTTTTATAAATTCCACACTTTACTACTTAATTGAAAAAAAATACTCATCAAATGATTTTCGAAAATCTATATTCGGACCCAATAAATTCAATTCAAATCAAATTCTTCAGAAAAATGTCCTTTATGAATTGAGTTTTATGGATTTTTGATTAAAGTTTTTGAAAAGTTCTTCTTAAATGTGATCAAAAGCAAAAAATGAGAAAATTTATCGATGTTTTTGAGCAAACGTTGAAAAGTAAAACTGATTTAAAGGTCTATATCAATATTCTACAAAACTTATTGCATAAAGGGCATTTTTCTGGAGAATTTGGTATGTAGTAGAGGTCTTTATCTTAAGAATTCTGGTGTGAACTTTGCACACAGTACTAAAATTCTAAAATAGTAATAGGCTTCTTTTAATAAAAAAATACATATAATACATGGATTTTGCAATTTTTCAGATTTATTCATCGTTTTTAGCGACAAAAGTCCAGTTTTAAGTTTTTTCCATTTAATATTAAAGCAAACTTTACACAGCTCTAGAGACACCTTAAACTCATTTTTTTAAGTTATTTATACCGGTCTTCTCATTTTCTAATCGAATAGTATACATCGTCGCCCCAGCGCAGGAAGGTATCTATTTCCAAGCTGTAGCAAGAAGGATACTTACTCGCGCGCAGAGGCAAAAAGGTATCTAACTCGAGCGCAGCGGCAAAAAGGTATCTAATTCGAGCGAGAAGCAAAAAAGTAGCTTATTCAAACGAAGTGGCAAGAAAGTTTTGACGCGCTGAATTTAGGTTGGCAACGCAGACGTAAATGATAAAATTTTGTTTTGTATTAGAGCAAAAAAGAGAAAAAACAATTGAGCTAGAGTAATGATTTTCATTCATTTCCAATGCGAGCAAACAAATCAATCTCGCCGCGATTTCGACTCAATATGCCTCTAATGGAGAACTTTGTATGTTCTGAGAGGAAAGTAGAAGTTATCGGCTTTACATAACTTTGAATTAAATGTTGAATGTTGAATTTTGAAACAAAATTTTATCATTTACGGCTCCGTTGCCAACCTAAATTCAGCGCGTCAAAACTTTCTTGCCACTTCGTTTGAATAACTACTTTTTTGCTTCTCGCTCGAATTAGATACCTTTTTGCCGCTGCGCTCGAGTTAGATACCTTTTTGCCTCTGCGCGCGAGTAAGTATCCTTCTTGCTACAGCTTGGAAATAGATACCTTCCTGCGCTGGGGCGACGACATCTAAGTGGGAGGAGAGAAAATACAAAGAAGTCAGAAAATATCGCACACCTTAATATATATTTTATAGCACTGTATGGCATAAGTTCACATTTATGGAACGCTTTTCTGTGGCATAAGTCGCACATTCTGGCACCGCTGCGTTCGCATCACACTCGCTTACGCTCGTGCGCTAATCACTTCGCGCTACCAGAAGTGCGACTCATGGGTCGGAAAAGGGGGCATAAATGTGAACTTTACACAGTACTATAAAATGTTGTTCGATACTCGGTTGTTCGATACTCGGGCCATAGGGGACACTTTTCGGCCCAGCAATTAGGACCCTCGCTGCGCTCGGGCCCTAAACTACGCCGTGCCAAAAAGTGTTACTTATGGCCCTTGTACCGAAAACTACTATTTCATCATTCTGGTCGACCAGACAGAAAATATGAAAAATCCAATTTTCCATCTCTAAAAATTCTGATGAAATTTAAGAATGCTTTCAAACAATTTCTAAGAGATTTCGGTTCTTTTAATTTCGCATTAGGCTTCAAAACTATAAAATAATAGATGGGGACTGTTTTCTCACTGGCCTGTATTTTTTTTCAAACTTATTTTTCGATAATTTTTTTTTTGCAAAATTACTGTTTAAGATAAATAACTGAGATATTATTATTTTTTCAATATAACAATTTGAAAGAATTTATCAAGTACGAGTTACATTAGGTGATACGCCACATTAGGGCAGTCTCCCCTAATTACTCAAAATTCTCTTGTATTTTCGTAATGTTTTTTTATGCTTGAAAGATCCAATAACTTTGACTCAATGCAATTTGGTAGCCCAGTCTTTATATAGATACCTCTGTAAACATATTTTTTCTCTTGAATATCAAACATAATGTTCGCAATTGTTAAATTAACAAATAACATGTAATTATAAAGGTTATTCACAAAAAACTTTTTAAATTCAAATAAATATAGTCTTATTAGTGGTACCCGTGGTACTTATATCTTTAATTACCATTATAATAATAACATATATCGAAAATGTAGATATTAATTATCTATTTTTTAAAAAATTTCCTGTAGGATCAGTGAAATTCCTGCAGGACACCTGCAGGGATCATGCAGGAAATTTTTCTTAGAGTACCGTGAACTTTTATACATTTCTAACCACATTGTTTCATATGTTTTGTTTTCAGATTCAGTGCATCCAATGTTCTGATCTAACGAGACCAAATTTTAACCTGTTTTGATCGTTTTAATACTGATGTGTAATTGTGTTTTTATGTAATTGAATAATTTACAATGGAAGATAAAAATTTCAATATGAAGCAAACAACTAGTAAAGATATATCAGATCCAATAACAAATGCAAAAAAACTACCAAAAAAAAGAAAGTTTGATCTAACTGAACTAGATTACATGATGAAAAATAGTTCATCAAATGATAACTATCAAATGAGTACTGATTGTAACAAAGAATTATCAACAGCAGGTTTCCAGTCCACAGTGTGTAATATTGATGAAACAATACCAAGTTATCAGGTAAATAAATAAAAATGCATATATTTTTAGTTATTGTGTACGCAAAACACGTAATACTCTTTATTTTTATATTAAAATTCATCTAATCAAAATGAATCTAACAATTAAATATTTATAAACAAGAAACGTTTTCGTTTGATCCTAAGAATTAACCGTTTTCGATTTTTTCCGTTGTGATAAATTTCCCTGATTATATTTATTGAGCAGTGAGAGCAATAAATTTTTTGAAAATTGTCCCACATTTTTCAAAAAATGTTGCTATATCCTCCATGCTATACTTCCGTTGTTTTGGATGAATGACCCATTCAAAGCGTTAATTTTTTTCTCAATTTTTGGTACCCCTCAGAATTCTGATTGGTTTTATTGAGAGTGTGCGATTACTCAAAAAAACTCAACTTGATTAAGCGCTATGAAAAAAATTTTCAAATTTTTCCCATTGGAAATACATGTACACTTCAAGCCTTTTGGTCTTTTTTACACTAGCTCTTTCTTTTCTTAGTAGAATGGAAGACATCTAGGTAGAGGGAGAAGCAATACAAATAAGTCGGAAAATAATTGACATCTTGTTGCCTATTTTTATATCCGGATTTTAACGTCGGCTCCAATTTACTTAATTAAGAATGTTTGATGTAGTAAAAAGTACAGTTTATCTCTTGTGGTATTACTTTTTATAATTCTTTAAAGTGTTCAAAAAATTTTTCAGTGGGTACAAAATTCAGTGCAAATCATGTGAATATTTTTTCTCACACCATTTTCATTCACTTTATTGATCTAGTTGCATGTTCAGTAATATTTAGTTCTCATACTTTCGACAAAGATGAAAAAACATGCTAAAATTTTCTCACACCCAAGAATTTTATGAAGGGCCTGAATAATGGACATTTCACAATCACTCATAACTTTTCGAGGATACGTAATTGTTATACTCATCAAACTTGTAGCAGATAGCAACAATTTCCAATACTTTTTTTATAGGAACATGATGCTTTATTTCCCAAAAGAGCATACACTGAAAAAATTTTGCACTGAATAATAGATCTCTACAGCGTGAATACATCTTATATTCATCAAATGAATAACTATTTATGACACAGTGAACACAAAACAGTATACTAATATTTTGAAGGGAATCATTTGTCACTGTGACAAGAATTTGGCTTCACGCGTGACGGTAAATTGCGATATCGATAATGCACATGTCAGAACCACCGTAAAGCCAACACTCGGGATGATTACTGCTACGCATGGCACTATTTATTAGCTGGCTGGCTATAACATACACAAAACGGATAAATTAATTTTTTTCCGTGTAAACATATTAGAAACTGTATCATTTGATACACATATTCATGCTTATCAAGTCATTGAAACAAATCGCCACACTTATGTAGAGGTTCAATCACTACCCAAAACTTCACCATTGTTATTTGTTGAACTAGTTAATAAAAATTATGTTGTTACTAGGCATAACTGATAAGCGATATTTTTGTTACCTTTGTAAATAATATCGATAAGTACAATAAATCACGATTATTTTACTGTAATATTTTATAAACCTTTTTCTTTTAAATAACAAAGTTTTTACAATATTTTTAAATATTATAAAAACGCGTTCACCTTGAACCTAAATTCCTGTCACCGTAGCCGTGAACTTTCTTCAAGTTAACTGTTGAATATAAAGTTAAGACACTATAGTGTGATATCAATAAAAGACCACAGGTGAACACGAATTCAGTGCAAAATTTTTTCAGTGTACATGATAGGTATTCCTATAATACGTGTACGACTTTCGTGCCCTTATAAAAATTTCCGATAGGATCCCGCGAAATTCCTATTGGAATCCTATAGGACTCCTGTAGGAATTTCGCGAGATCCTATCGGAAATTATTATAAGGGTGGTTGTCGATTTACTCCGCCATGTATTGAAAATAATTGGAAAGAAAATAATCAGTGTAATAAAACAAGTTTCGTCCACGAACCATACAGAATTACTCCATAAACATCTTAGAATTTCTTTCGTACCTAATACTATTGTTCTCCCTCCATCCTAATTACAATCGTCAAGAGAATTATACAAAAGAAAATTATCGCCTTACAATGTTAAGATAAATTCTAGAGGAATATCTAATAAATCTTGTGTTCTTCATAAATTTGCCGGGAAAAATTGTAACTAGCTTCCGCGACTCGCATTAGGCAACGTCCTATCGGTAACAGGGCCTTTTTCAACCGTTATCCTAGTTATCCTTTTTTTAAAACTTACCATTACATATTATACTTTTACTTTAATAACGATTGATTTAGTGGAGGCTTCGGTAACCCTAAATGTCATAACAGGATTTAAGTATTTCCAAAAGAAAAATGTATAAAGAAATATCGATACAAAAAAATCAACTCTCTAAACCGCTAAAGATACCGTTAATAGACCATTTTACCGTAAAATTTTTGCCATTCCACAAATTCTGACAATTTTTCCTATCCAGATATTGAGCAGTAAATACGATTACTTCTTGTAGATTCCCCCTTTTCGAATTTCTAGTAAGTTTCCCTGTAGAAAAACCCTTGAACATGTCGCTACATGCATTTCATGCAACTTACTCAAATTCAACGATCAATTTCAACGCGTTTTTTCTGATACAATTAATCTATCAGTGTGAGCAGTTTAAGGGGACACACCAGTGTTAAAATCTGAAATAATTAATAGGTGTAAAATAATGCATCAATCAAGTTTCAACAAATATAGGAATGAATCTATGTTTTTAGCTTCATTTTCAATGTAAAAACCCACAATGGACCCCTAGCATATCAATTTAACTGTGAAGACTACTAAAATAAGTTTTCAGCTTCAGTAAATACTCACCGCAGGATTTTAAAGTGAGTTTTTATCAATTTTTATGGTGGACGGCTTAAATTCTTTGCAAAAGTACACGGAGCGAACAGAAGAGTAATTTTTACCCTCCTAGTGGGTAAAGAACGTCCAAGCGTGTCCACTGACAGTCACGCTACTGTTTAAGCATGCGGCTGCTGTACCGTGATGGTAAATGGACGTGCTTTACCCTGCAGGAGGGTAAAATTACTCTTTTGTTTGCTCCGTGTATTCTATTTTACTTGGGTGTAACAGAATTTTAAAAAATGTCATAGGAACATTTGTATGGCTATAAACGCACAAAAAATAAAAAAAATATTGAAATCGTATGCATATAAATGTTTACACTGCATTGTAAAATGCAAATACAAATGTTCTTATGACATTTTTCGAAATTCTGTTATACCATGGGTATCGATTCTGTCCGATGGAACTTCTGTCCTATGCTTAAACACGTTCCACACTCTGTTGGACCAGACAGAATCGATGTTAACCCAGTGTACTTGAGTGAGGAGAATACTTTTACAAAGAGTTTAAGCAGTCAACCATAAAAATTGGTTAAAAACTTACTTTAGAATCCTGCGGTGAGTATTCATCGAAGCTGAAAACTTGTTTTAGTGGTCTTCACAGTTAAATTGATATGTTAGGGGTCCATTGTGGTTTTTTAAATTCAAAATGAAGTAAAAAAAACATGAATAATTTCTATATTTGTTGAAACTTGATTTATGCATTATTTTACTCCTAATAATCATCAGGTTTTAACACTGATGTGTCACCTTAAAGCACTATGTTTAGGCGTTGCTCAGTGTAAGATTGGATTTTTGGTAGCGCGTGATTTTGAGTGTGGTAGTAAGTGGAAAAATAACACCTTTGATAATAGTCCATTGACAGCTGGATACCAATTCCGATTGATTGTTTAGAAGATAGGAATGTTCGAAAAAAGTTGACCTATTGCGTATTTGTATATTTTATGTTTTAAATTTGGTTTTAATTATTTTGAATATTGTAAATAGTCGAAACGGAAATCAAAAATAGGTATGAATAGTTCTGAAAGTGACTTCTATAAGCATCGGCCATCGAGGTTTATTATAAGTTCAGATTGAAAAAGTTGAATAATTTAGGCAGAAAATGAGATTAAAATTATAGCGTTTCTGACACCAACTGTTTATAGGCTAGAAAGATACCCTAAAAAATTCTATTGAATTTTTAATAAGATTTTCCTTCTCCTTTTTATTGCATTTTTCAAAACTTCAAAATTCTGATATTTCATGGAGATACAGCTATTTCCGTGAGTCTTTTTCGTATACTTTACATTTTAAATTTTATCATCTCTTGCATTTTCTGGCAAGTTATGTTTTTGGTCATCCATCGTAACTTTCAAAGAGTACCTATTGAGCTTGAGCACCAGGGTCGCGTACACTTCTTCAGAACATCAATGCTCACAAACACAAGCACTTTAGGAGTGATCGAACACGTAGCGTGCTCTGCACGTACATTTAAGCATACATTTTTTTTCATTTTACGCTATTTGACGAAATTTAAATCATAAAAGTACAGTTTGAGAGTGACCTATGAGTTTGATTACTCCTGAAGTGCTTGTGATTGTAGCATTGATGTTCTAAAGAAGTGTACGCGACCCTGGTGCCAAAGCTCTATAAGTACTCTCTGAAAGTTACGACAGATGACCAAAAATACTATTCGCTAGAAAGAAGAAAAATTTTAACACGTAAAGTATACGGAAAAGAATCACGGAATCTCCGTGAAAAATCAAAATTTTGCAGTTTTGAAAAAGTCAATGAAAAGGGGAGGAAAAACCTTACTCAAAAATTCAATCATTTTTTTTTTTTTGATTTTATGGTAACTTTTCCCCTTAAGCGTCTGATTTTTAAACATTGATACGAATATCGGAAATTTAAAAATCGAATATATTTTTAAATTCCATTTTTAAAATTTTTTATAATGAAATTTATTTCATATAAACAATTTTATACTTATTTCACTCATTTATTTTACTATTTTTAAATAAAGCACATTTTTTTCTGGAATTTTTCTCTTTTTGATATATATGAAATATTTTGTGACTTAATTATTGTCTTTACTTTCTGTACCTTAGTTTTCACTTCAAACGGTGTCTGCGGCGCCTCAAAAAGCAGCAGTGGATTATTCTGTTCGGGAAAGCACTATAGTCGCAAAATCACAGCAAGCTGATTCTCCTATCTCAGCCGTAGGACCATCGATATTAAAAATAGATTTAAATGAATGGCGAGAACATAGAGTATTGGCGTTATGTAATGATCAGTACTATCCAGGTGTAATAAGACATGCAGTGGATGAAAATTTATTTATTGAACTAGATATAGAAAAAGAATTGAGAAAATTTTGCAGTATTCTCACCAGTAGAAAATTTGACGTCATTAGTGATGCAAGCCCATCTTCTAAACAAATTAATGTTCAAACAAAAGTGTGTTTTCGAAAACCCCAATCTATAGATACAAATTGTTCTGAGTTTTTAGCTAACGTTTTTTCTGTTGGAATTATTTGCAAGGTTTTGAATAAACCAACTCGCTTTGTAGTTGAAACTACTAGAAAAGAGAATTACATTGTTAGACGAGCTGATCTAAGATTAATTCGTCCACCTTGGTGGGACGAATTGGAAGAAAGCATAGAAGACCAAAAAATTTTCAGCGAAGGTGAGAATCAATTATCGTATTATTTAATTCTCGATAGTATAAACAATGATATAGTATTAATGTACATTATATTTTTAACCCGAACCAATAATTCTGTTTTATTTCGAAGTTACTCATAAGTTTGCTAGTGCTGTACACTGTCTAAGTTATCATAACATATTTTATTCTTGATTATAAAAATTACGGGGACTTGTCAGCTTAAAAAAAATTTCAAAGCCATTGTAAGTAAATCAGGGTGTTTTGTTGTTTAATTTACTAGATGTTTTCGTGTGTTGATTTTTTCATTCGTGTTTTGAGGTTATTTAAGTACAAACTGTCTGTTTACAGTTAGCAGCGCAGGCGCTCGTATCGAGTCGACTCGCGTCGGGCTTCGTCGTCAGTGTCAGCCAATCAGAGGTCGTTCTACGTAGCCTCACTTTTCGACCGCTCCCTTTTTTATAAGTAGATTTTAGTCAATCAATTTTAGTAAATCTAGCATGTATAAAAAAGAAACATTTTATTTCCTAAAAAAATTTGTTTAGGCATTCTGAAGTTATTATAACACATGTGACTTCAATGTCAATGTATAATAACACTATCAAAACATTATCTATTATATTAAATGATCAGAACAAATCTTTGTACCACAAAATCGAATTTTTTCCGGAGAAACTGTTTTTTTTTAATTCACGAGTTTTAAATAAAGCTCGTGAATAACATCACGAGTTAGATTCTTTTATTTCGATTCCTTTACGCATGATCAGCAATTTAAAAACTCGAAAAGTATAGAACACCTAATGTACATTACCGCTAGAGTATAACGCCTCTTCGTGTCCTCTTCGGGTCTATCAATAGATTGAGCGCCTGCCTATGCCAAGTTTGGTCTACGATTTGAAAAAAGAAGAACCAAAAGTCTGCTCCTTAGTGATGGTTATACTGATCAATCATCATCTCTTGAAGGACCTTGAACGCCCGCAATTTTGATCTCCAACTTATTTTACACAAACAGCTCATTTCAAAGCTACCGAATCAATTCAACTCATTAAGTCCGGGACGGACACATTTTTGATACTTTTTCGAACCGTTGTAATTTTGCTGAAAGTGGGGTCTGGAGAACTAGCGAGTAAGCACATTCTAAGCAAAATTTAAAGAACTTACCGAATCCAGTGTCAGATTTTCGATATAACAACCAGGTCAAAAGTTATGGATGGTTTTATCCAGAAAACGTGATTTCTAAAAAAAATTTTTTCTTTTCGAATTTTAATATGAAAATCTTTTAAATCCTGGCGCCTTCGGTATAAATAAAGCGTGCATAGGTTCTTCTCTTGAAGTTATGACGATTCCAATTAATTAAATATGATTTAAGTACAAAAAATGGCGACTGGAAAACAAAAATATATAAGGAAATTTCTGGAATTTTCAACTCAAAAAAACAATGACTTCTTAGAATTTATCAAAAAACTTATTTATCAGTACAATTTTTTCCTCAAATCCATCGTTTTTAAGTTAAAAATTCCAAAAATTTCCTTTTATATTTTTTTTTCCAGTCGCCATTTATGTACTTAAAATCATATTTCATTAACTGTAACCATCATAACTTTAAGAGAAGGAACCATGGACATTTTATCTGTACCGAAGATGCCAGGATTTAAAAGATTTTCATGTGAAAATTCCAAAAGAAGAAAACTTTTTTTTCGAAATCACGTTTTTTTTTATAATACCATCTACAAGTTTTGACCTGATTGTTATATCGAAAATCTGACACTAGATTCGGAAAGTTCATTGAATTTTGCGTAGAACATGCTTACTCACAAGTTTTCCAGACCCCATTTTCAGCAAAATTACGACAGTTCAAAAAAGTATCAATAATGAGCCCGTCCCGGACTTCATGGGTTATTAATAAGACCCCCTTACTTATTTTTTTTTACTGGGGGGGCTTAGACACCATCAGCCTATTAAGCCTGGAAAGTGCCGTCCCTAGTGGACGGCACTATAAAGGCCTATACCTTTATTTCCAATTTTTCATCACTTTTTTATTTATACTATGTTTCTTAACCTTTCTTTTACCTTACATTTTGACCTTGACCATTTTTAACCTATCCTTTTCCTATCTTTCCATCCATCCATTTCCGCATTTGCCCGGGATTATGCCCGTGATATGGGGAACAACTCAGTGAGAAAAACCCATACTGGAGTTGGTCGGTGCCTCTATAGCACCTCTCGCTAGCACATGATGACGCTGGTAAACACAGCTGAGCGATGCGTGAGGGCGCTATGTGCTTGACGAAATGGGTTCCCTGGCGGTCACCCATCCACGTTCTTACTGCGACTTATGACGCTTTATTTTGCACAACGCTCGAGCTGCGAGTACCTCGCCCCACCACCTGGTTCGGTGACCCCCTTACTTATTGCCATTGCATCAGAACAATACCTATCCTTGGCAATCGCAGTTGCTGCCAAAAAAAATGAGGGCTTTCGTCAGTGTTGAGTTGCTGCATAGCTTAGAGTACGGAGACCATAGAATGACATACTTCACAGTTCATAATAGGTAATATTAAATCAATTTTTCTTTGCTCGTATTCAACACGGTGCGTTTCTAATCCACGTTTTTGTCCACGAAAATTGTCCGAACATCATTTGCGTGTCTGTTGAAAAGACTATGCTACAAATCGTCCAATGAAGCAGCACAGCCCAGAGGGCCCTTTGCCCTTCTTAAATTCAGCGCTACACTGGAATTTTCTTATCTGCGCCCGATCAAAATCATAATATTATGAAATTTTCATCACCACTCGATTCCTACTGCTCAATCTGCTCCAGCGTCGTGAGAGGGGGTAAGTTTCTTTTGTACCTTCTCTTATATCGTCTGTTCTACTCGTTTTCATCGCCGCTGGGTTCCTGTAAATGCCACCGATTATACCTGCTGCTCATGAATGCCATCTTCATCATTATTATCATTGTCAATGTTGCCGTATTCGCCGTACAGAGATATAGAGTCCGTAGTTCAGATTTCATCCATTTCTTCTGACTACCACTGTAAGATGTGTGATCACCTACCTGGCGCACGCATACCTGCACTAATCGAGTGGAAAAAGCAGCTAGAAAGATTCTGTCAAAAATTTCAGCACAGAATTTCTGAGTGATTCGATAGTTGCTATGAGGAGTTTTCTCGGCGAATGTCGCAGCTTGAGGATGTTCAGACACAGCATTCAGCTGATCTGAATCGACGATCATCTGCGACGGAGCAACTTTGGGTGACTTGTCATTACGAGTTAGCTTCTGTACGCGAGGAACTTAAGTTCGAGATTGATGCAATAAAATCTCATATTTCCTCTGCGACTGAAACCGTTTGGTTATGAACGTCTCCAGATTGAGATTATTTCGGCAGTATACCTCGTGAAGTTGATGCTACTTCCATTAAAAAGGCAGCAATAATTTTAAGAGCGATGGGACTAGTCTGATTCGAGACTCATTGTTTGAGTGCTTGAGTGGATCGACCGAAACACACGTGCTTTTATAAGTCCGACTGCATGGAAAATCATAGTACAATTCTCTGTCTCTTTATTACGTGACCAGTTAGTTGATTTCCTCTCCACCTGAGTTGCATGGGCTTTCCATATGCAGCCTTGCGCCTTTTCAGATTTACAATTAAATTATCTAAAATCTTAAAATATACATTTACGCAAAAATGGCCTTGCGAAGTAAATTCTGTAAGAGTTGTCGGATCGACTTCATCGAAGTTAGCTATACGCTTGGGAGCACACCTGCTCTCGACTCGGAAATATTTTATTTTACATTTTTCAATACTTTTTTTTCATAAAAATTATACGAATCATCAGTACGAAGTTAAAAACAAGAATTAATCAAAGATTCGAATTGCAAAATTACAGAACCTAATTCTTGCAAAGATCGTTTTAGAGACTTATTAACGCTATTAAATCTACTCAATACATCATTCCAAAAAGTGGCTATAAAATAACTATTCAAGGAATTGAAATATGTGTAAATGTTTTTAGATTCGGTTTTAGTCGTAGGTTTGTCCAATTTATTCTCCGAAATACTGCGAAGGGTATTCAAAATTTCATCCCACGAATCACATAAGCTTTTACAAGCATCATGACGCTCAGACCATCTGGGTGTGGAGAGACTTTTAACGGTGTAGCCCTCTTTTAAATTATTAACTAGACTTTGCCACTTTTTAGTGGACGTGGAAAACAAATTATTTAATTGCTGAACCATCGCAAAAAATCTAGCCACATCTGCACAAGATTCAACCCTGCACAATCTGCACAAGATTTGTGTCCACAGTTCGCGACAACCTTGATGAATCGTTATTGTGGTATGATCAACGTGAGATATATCTGGAGTGGTATCAACACTGATCGAGTAATATCTCGCTTCTTTTATCTCTTCTATAATTTTCTGCTTCAATCGTTGCGACATTAAGAAAATAAATTCATCACATATTGTAAATAGTAAGAGACGGAACCTCGCCCTTGATTTCCATGCGATTTTATATGTTCTGAAAAGAAAGAATCAAAATCGGCTAACATTTCTAATATCATCATATGATTGTGCAATAATCCGAACTTTTCATCAAATTCTCGAAAAGCTAAACCGGGCGAAGAAAGAGATCTTATAGCCAATACAACGCGACGCAGAACATTTCTCCAATATTTCATATCTGACTCTATTTGTAATAAGAGTTGAGATTCTACATCCTTTGCACTTTTTTTCTTTGCAGAAAACATGACTGGATGACAATTTATGATCTTTGAGGTCTCTTGAAATATTACTCCAATCACCATATACCTTATACTCCTTCCCAAATTACTTGCATGTAGCACAAATAACTATATTTAGTTTTTCGGAATAAATCAGCCAATCTTGAAGAATCTGCCTTCCATTGCATTATGTTGAAGAAAAATGATTTTTTGTCATCACTTATTTTTTCGGGCGTAACGGAATTCGTAGACTCAACTACCTCATTTTCGACATTTTTATCTATTTTCGACTGTTTACACGAATTAGAACTCGTAGATTCGGCAAACGTAGATTCACATACCTCTTCATTTTCATAAACTGCTACAAAAAGAATGAGAGAACTAATATAGAATAACAATTCAAAAATCATATTGAGACGAAACACTGCAAACGTGGAAGTAAAGAATACCCTGCACATATTTAATAAAATTCAACGAAAAAATTTTATAAGACGAAGGATAGCCTTTACTAAAAAATAAGAGCATTCGTTTTCTAAAACAAATGAAATCGAATGATAAAACGAACGTACAAATAAGTGCGTTACACCAATACGAAGGAAAGCGCAGGTCGCAGGGTGGAGTTGACGATGTAAACAAACCACGGATGTCGGATACACAGAAAGAGGAATCAGAAATTCGCTCGTTTTGTTATTCACGTTTTCCACACGAGTTCTGACGCAAATGAGAATAAAATCATGCATGTACTATTATAACCGTCAAGTCAAATATTTCATGCTTGAAAACAATTTGATAAAAAATGTTCAATATCTTCTACTCGATTATTTATTCTTCTCAAATCCGTTGAATTGTCGCTCGCTATACTCGACGAAGTAATATTCGCAGTTGTTTTATTTCTGCAAAAAAATGTGTCGATTGTGGGAGTCGCTTCAATGACTGCTTTTTCTTTGCCTTTCTTATCATTCGAGTTTTTAAGGTTCTACGCACCACTCAGTCAAAAACGTGGATAACTCATGATTAAATTAAACGTCACACTAATCTTTAAACAACAGTCGTTTATACAAAATATCTTCTTTTTGTTTGTCCACGTGCTCATTAATCTGCCTTCTTTATACTGCCATTCAGCAGACTTAGTTGTGATAGGAAAGACACTGTAAACTTAAGCAAAATATATCCGCGAAATTCTCAAGGAGTAAGTTTAATTATATTTCAATGTGAAAAGTTGGCACAACTATGCCAACTCAAATTGCTAAATTTTCCAAATTTCAAATTGCCTGCAGACATACTTACTTATAATTTCTCACTGTAAATATGTAATTTTAGGTATCGCTAGTTCCCATTGTAAACAATTTCACCTAATGATCATTTATTTTAAATTTAAGTAACTTTAATGAGGTTACTTATAATTTGATGGTGTTTAGGGTCATATAAATGTCATACAAGTCAAACCTCCGAGTTTAAAGTCAACAATTGCCATTGAATGCCTTGTATACGCTTGTGCTCAATCTTGATTTTGTTTGACTTAAAATTCGAATTTCCGTACCAAATTTTAGGAGGTGGATCTCAGATTTATTAACAATCCGAAAATGCAATAAAAAAAATTCCCAAAAGTGAAACCCTAATATAATTCTTAAAATGAAATAATTCCTTAAGATCAAATGCGAAGTCATCATGGAATTCCCGATCAAAAATATGTCTTAGACAGAGTTTTGAGTTTTTATCACGTCGTTTCTGCAAAATTTTTGGGGGCTTCCATAATCTTATGACACACGATATACATACCGCATTACCATGCTACACGGTCTAGACTCGCAAACCTTAACTTCAAGTACGCTTGCGTAGCATCACCTTATTACACTAGTTAGCTTATGTGACTGCTATCACAATTTATTATTGTTTTACGAATTTCAATAGTTAAAAAAAGAGCCATCATTATAGTCGAAACATTAGTCATTATTCGTAAAATTTTTTTTCTTAAGTAGTTGCAGTGTATTTTTAATTCAATTTATTTAAAAAAACATATTATTTAAATTTCAGGAAAAATAATGATGTACAATTTCGAGTCATCAGACTTACCCATGCACTCAATGAGAATTATGAGTGATCACCTAATTCCAGAAAACAGGATAAAGAGTAATTTTCGAACAACTGGAACGAGCCCATCACCTATAGCCGCAGTTCAAGGATCTGGAGTAACAGGAGCGAACGAAAAATCAAGAGAGGACAATGAAAGTGATGACGATCTAGATCGAGAAAATATTACTTTCACTAGTGATTCAGGTATTAATGTGTACCATTATCAATAACATTTTTATTTAGTACAGTAGTTCATTAAGCATTTATCAAACCTCTTAATGTTTAGTTTGTCTAAAGGTAAAGCCTGTGTATAGTAGTGGGTGCGTTAATTTTTATTTTTTATCGAACCAACGCAAAGTGAACCGTCATTTAAATACTCTACCAAATGATGCATTCCAATTTTACATTGGTAGACTGTACTTGAGTACGTGTCTCCGCCTTGCATTTTTATTTAGCGTTACATTTCTTACTCACTTAATGGCTATTTAGAAGTTCTTAAAACTACATTTGTTTTAAGAGAAATTTTGTTAGTAAAAATACAAAGAACTAAAAACAAAATACCGATTTTTTGGATATAAAACTTATTGGTTCCACTTGAAAAATCTGAAACAATTTTGAGAGTATGGATTGTTGCGTAAAATCAAGAGGTATTTTGACTGCGTTTCGACTCTGATTACCGGGAAGAAATTATTAAAATTATCTCTTATTTTTTCTAAAGCCTCGAAGCAACCGAAATTTATGTCTCAATTCAGGGCTTTAAACTATTGGTATTATCACTATAAATCAGAATTGGTTTTAATGTAAATCAAACGTCCATAAGATTTGTGAAGTGTACGAGGGATATTTCGTCTTTAAACGTTGGCTTCTGGACTGTTTTTTCATATACTGTATTATACCGAAAGTAAGTAAAAATTGAAAGGCTCTTGAAGGATGATTATTTGAAAATTCTAACATAAGCCTTACTCAAGAGCTAAATCAGGTTCAATTTTGAAAAAGTATTGTATTTACTTTTAAGGGCTAACAGGGGGCTTAATTATTTTTCATTTTTCAATTACAGTACTAGGCTATAGAAGTGAAAACAATTTTTTCTTCAAGAACACACATGACAACCCTTTTCAATACCCTATTTGAAAGTATTTTGTGCAGTTAGATACTTGGAAACAGTAGTACAATAATGAGTGTGTTGACTCTCTACATAAGCTTTAAACACGTCTAAGCTACCTGTCGTCAAAATCCAACATGTAGTTTCATTTTGTCTGATAGCCAATTGGCCATGGCCGCAGCCAAAAGATAGGTATAAGATAAACTGTAGCTACTTGTACATATAGCAAAGTGAAATTAATTTATGGAAAATGATGAAAAATAAATACTAAATTCTAGAAAATCGTTCACACGAGTAGCTAAAGTTCACCTTATGTCTAGCTTTTGGTTGTGACCATGGCCAATTGGCTATCGAACAAATTGAAACCACAGGCCACAATAAATTGATGCTCGCTCTTAGATTTCTACGACAGTAGCTTGGATGTGTCTAAAGCTTTTTTAGAGGGTCAACACACTCATCATGACTATCTAACTGGACAAAATACTTTCAAATAGGGTATTATCATGTGTGTTCTTGAAAAAAAAATTTTTTTCACTTTTACAGTCTAGTACTGTTATTGAAAGTTGAAAAATAATTAAGCCTCGTGTTAGCCCTTAAAATGCGCTTTCTTCCCTTTCTAACAGCCTTATCAAAAATTTGAAAATGCCACTTACCTTCACAAAAACAGCCGTTTTGATAAATTGTATGTAAAATAGTTTTTTCTTCTACATTTCTTAAAAAATTTGTTAGTCACTAGAATCTTCGGGTATCGCAAAATGAAAAAATTTCAATGGGCAATCACACACATCTTTTGCACCATCAAAACTTCAAAAATCTAAAATTCGATTACAGGCACTATAAGAGGCATTTTATACGTCCCAAGCAATATCCGGATAAGGAAATGAAAACGCTCAAATTCGGGATTTAATGAAACACATTCATTATGTTTTTTCAAATCTTTTTACATCAGAAAACATATCTTTGGTACCTTTTATTATTTAAATTAGTCCAGTCAGCCCCTCTAAGTGACTTATCATTACGAAGCTCTGTGACGCATGAATGTGAATGGAATCTTTGACCACTCTTGTTTCTAGAGTCTAAAAATGTTTGTGACAACGTTCTCTTCCACTTAAGTGGAGCAGATTTTTAATTGTTCAGGAATTATGTAAACAATTACATGTAATAATTAATAGGATGGGTGCACGCGCAGGTCTCACAATAAAACACTGCATAAGTGACATTAATTTCTATTTTTACTATTTTATTAATTATCACTTAAATCACTCTTAATTAAGTCAAAACTGAGTCAATAAATTTAGAAAGTTGATAACAATTACAAAAGTTGTGTACACTGATATTATTATTGATTCTACACTATGAGATGTCAAAAGTCTGTGCAAATGATTTGAGCAGTCAACGCGAAGCTAGATTTTGTTAATCCACACTTATCTTCTGTGAGCTGTTGCACTTTAAACGTGCAAAGCTTCTCTTGAGTTCACAACGAGTTGAACTTGATATGTGAGAAAACCGGAGCACAACGATTGAGGTTATATTAATCCTCTCATCTGCATTTGTGAGCAGCCGGAACTGAGAGGGACCGAGATCACGTGAGATTGCACATTTCAACGTGTAGCCTCACTTTCTCTCGTCGTGCGCTCGTGCAACTGAGATGCGCCAAATAATCCCAAAAGTTGAGGTGATGACAGAAAGATCCCACCAGGCCTGCAGTAGACATTATTGGTCTTCAATTGCACCCTGGATAGTTTCTTTACCTGGTCGCAATCGATGAGTTGAGCCTTGATGAGTACGTCGATGAGACTAGCTTGACAAACGTCCTTGTTGAACGACTGGGTGCTTGTTGAGATGAGCTGGAGTAGTCGAGTTGATGAGATTTTCCTTGAAGATTATGCTCGATGTAGCTTAGCTTTTCGTAAATACAGGTTAACCGTCTACGTCTCTGCAGGACGCTGCTTCCCAGTTTCGCTCGTTTTCGAGCATGAATCCAACAAACGTCTCGGGCTCTAGTGGCCCGTTTTCTAGGCGGTAAAGCTATTCTCTTCCCTCCTTGAATCGAGGGCAATGGAAGATGACATGTTCGACTTCCTCCACTGCAGGATGGCAGGTCGGACACGAGCTGCTTGTGTCGTTTTTTTTACGACATAGGTAAGACCTAAAGCAGCCGTGGCCGGACAGAAGTTGCGGGAGATGGTAATTGACTTTTCCATGCCTCTTTTCGATCCACGCAGCGATGCTTGGTATAAGCCGGCCAGTCCATCGACCCTTCGTAGCGCAAGACCATTGGGTATGCCACTTCTCCAGCGCTCCTCACTCGTTGTGTCACTCCTGGCGTCCTCGCAGCTATGCTCGTAGAGCCTGGAGCGTTCGTCAACAAGGAAGACCAGTGGTGGAGTGCCGGCAAGAACATGCACAGCCTCGAGGGAAATGCTGCAGAAGCCGCATATCGCTCGAAGACAGGCGCGCCGATAGATTGATGCTGCCTTGCGGACATAGCTGTGTGTCCCTGTAGCCTCTCTCCATGTTGGGGCCCGTACACGAGGATTGAATTGATGACGCTGATATAAAGCCTGTGCTGGCTGCATCTCGGGCTCCCAATGTTGAGCATCAGGCCGAACAGGGCGCCCGCGACTCGGGCGGTCTTTTCACTGACTAGTTTCAGGTGCTGATCGAATCGCAGCTTGTCATCGATGTGCACACCGAGGTATCGGATGCAGGGAACGGACGTAATATCGCAGTCACCGACTCTGAGGATGATGCTTTCCTTCAATTTTCTGCTTGTGACATTCAGACCCTCAGTTTTCTGATCGGCAGTCTGCAGACCCAGTTTGCTAAGGGCCCTACGCACTAGCCGGATGGCGTCGTCTGCGTCTGCCTTGATATCTTCTAATTTTTTGTCATAGATTATAAGCGTGATGTCGTCTGCAAACCCGACAATCGACACTGTTCTGGGAAGCTTGAGTCCAAGGATCTTGTTGTACATAGCGTTCCAAAGAATGGGGCCAAGCACCGATCCCTTGGGGGACACCCGCTGTGACGCTGTAGGTCTCCGCGTCGCTGTCGCTGAAGTAGCTGGCGATGATTCGTTGGAGATAGGGTGGCACTCCAATCTTCTCTAAGGCGCTGAGGATGTGATTCTAGCGCGCCGAGTTAAAAGCGTTTTCAACTTCTAGTGTGACGATGACGCAGTATTTCTTCGTACCTCTGTAATACCTCTTGCCAGTGATGGCTGCCTTAACTGTGCTTAGAACCTTCTGTATGGCGTCAATGATCCTTTCCAGGAGCTTGCCCGCGGTGTCCAGCATGCAGAGCGGGCGGTACGACGAGGGCTAGAAGACAGGCTTGCTTGGTTTTAGCATCAAGACAAGTCTTTGACACTTCCAACGTGCCGGAAAACATCCTTCCCTGAGGCATGCCGTAAAAACACGGCGAAAAACGTCCTTACACGCACCTACTACGGCTAAAGTTTTTTTTTGTGTACAAGTGTTATGCGCACATTCACCTAACAATTGCGCATAGACCCTCTTTGAATTTAAATATCACGGAAAAAATTTTTTTGAAAAAATCAATTTGTACCTCAAATATTTTTTGTATTTTAAAGTATTTCATAAATTTTACTTCCTTATTCTATATTTATAATTTTCTTTCAGAAATTAAACTATCAGGTAGCAGTAAGCGTAGCAGTATGCAAAGTCGCGGCAGTACTGGTAGTTTAATCGAACATCGTAGTAATACACCAAGGTCTCAAGCAGCGACCCCCAGGTATTTTAAGTCCATATATTTTTATAAATCCATCATTATAGTTTTGGCTAAAGTAATTATTAGTTATAATTCGTATCTCATAAAATTCATCTGATAAATGATGATAAGTTTATTTGTTTTATTCATAATATTAGTTTAAGGAGGCTATTACGTAAAATCAAAATTTTAACCACCGATACTAAACATTAGAATATGACAGCTTATCATCGTACGAATTGAAAACAGCTTTTCGTCAATTTTCTGTTGTTCAACGTAAAAAATCTTTATGAAATGAATATTGTTTGTAAATTTTTTAAATTGTACGTTAGTTTCAAATTTCTGAAAAAATTACTTTTCATTTTTTGGATTTTTTCCAGATTTTTTTTGATTTTTTGCAAGAACCACAAGGCCAAATGAAAAAAGACGAGTCTTTTTATCAGTATAAAAGTTACAAAAAATTTGAATTCAATATAGGTTCTATGTCTGATGTGTTTTCCTTATCAAAAATTTACTTGAGGAGAGCTGACACTTATTATTAACAAAATAAAAGTTAAGCTGAAATTTAAGATCGTGGATGATTTTTTATCTTGTAAAAAACTCTTTATTCATAGGAAAAATGTGTATTGTTGCAGGAAAACAAGCAACAATTTGAATTACACGAATAAGTCCAGTACTGAACTGGCCTTAAAATTAAATTTTTCGATAATGAATTTAAATTTTGATTTCGGCATACTTATTAGTAGCGGTACAAAAAATCTTTCCTTAGCAGATAGAACGTTTTTATTCGGAAGAGCTTGGGTGCATTGATCGACCTATCAAACGATATTTCTCATTTTTTCAAAGGATCATCTTTCAGCAGGATCGCTTCTTGTTCTCTTTCGTACAAGTGTTACGGCTGGAGAGCCAATTTATAATAAATAATATATATTGATTTTATTCTGGCTGGTGACAACGAGGGAAGTATATATGATGTGATTGATTTGTGTGGAGTGGTAGTAGTCGTTTGTTATTTGTTATAATAAATTACAATGCAAACACATTCATCCATTCAGATACAAAAGTTTAACTTACACCTAGGCTTACTCAACTAATTAAAAATAATATTCATAAGCCTGGTGGACGATTCTCGGTGTAGATCGTGGCTCACTCTGCAACTGGTTGGCTGGCGTTCCTGGTTGGCTGCACTGCACTAACTGCACTAGTCTCGATTACAATTACACTCCGCATTGGACTCGCGGCACAATTTAATACAAGTCTAAATGATATAAAATCGCGGTACAAAGTGACGTGAGCTCTGCCCACCGAATAAGTTGATAGTCGAATCGCGCAGAGGCCTCCGTGGGTCCTCAATATATACTACTAGATTTTGCATACAAAATTAAGAGAAAGCACCTGTCAGCACCTGCTCATCCGTGAGAATCTGACGACAGCTTTTACTAATTTTTACGAGTTTATTGGTCTTCCTGTTAAACCGACATCGCCTCAAATTTAATCAATGCTTTGCATGGCGTGTCTATTTCACACCTTTGTAATAGGTGTCGATTTCGATGTTCTTTTCATAGAACTCGATGTTTTGACCAATTTTATAGTTTTGCTTTCCACTTAGCTTGATGTCGTCAGATCCCGTAGATCGAGGCTGGTGCGTCCGTTCGTAGAGTGAAATTTCATGTTTATCGTTATTTGAATATACATTATTTTTAAGAATATTATAATTGTTTATAATAAAATAAGGGTGACGTGACATTTCCACGGCCATTTAAATGGTCGTCCCGACCATTGGCTAGTGCCCTTAGAGCTTCGTCTCACTTTTGATTTAGGATGATACATGAAGTAATACAAAGAATTTACAATACAACTTATTATATCTTAATATTACATACAAAGGTTTTCGTAACTGTGTTTCTTAAATGGTGATCGTTAATTTTGTTTCGTTTTTGTATTACATTTCAACAATTATTCTGAATTTTCATAATATTACGTTATATCGTGCACTTTCTTTCTTTCTTTCAGTAACCTATTCACACACAAAAAAAATTCTGTAATATAAACTCTATGATGCTGCTTTTTTTTTTTGTTTTCTTTTGTAAGTTTTTGCAATGGTAAAATAATCGTAAAAGTTATAAACAGAAATTGTTACAAATGTTACAAAACTTCATAGCTCCTTCTAAATTTTAACATTACAACGTCTTTTAGAAATAATAATGAGTATTTTACAGGAAAAAGGGAAAAAAATGGGTGGTAAAAATGTTAACTTGACTTTTGTAATTTACAATTAATAAGAAATATCTTAAAAATACGAAATTTCCGCAACATCCACAACATTTTTATGATCGCAGTGACATACAGTAAAACGTACACAATTCAATCACTGTATCTTCTATGCATTCAATGTTATAGAAAATTTTGATTCATGAATTTCAGCAAAGACGTATCCTGGTTTTAATATATATTTTTGTTTATAAAATGGTATTATTATCATTGTTTTCTTTTTTTATTTATTAATTTTCATTATTATTTTTTTTCTTAAAAGAAAATTTGCCAAAGATTTATTTAAAATATCAATGTGATATTTTTATCTGGTTAATTAATGTTTAAATTTTGCTTGCTGTAATTTATGATCAACTAAATTCCTACCCGCTCTAAGTTTTTTGTACTCCGGACAAAAATATGTTTTAATTGAAACAATTTTCTTTTTTTTTTTCTTTTAAAACAACTATTGTATATATTGCTCAATAATTTTGTCAGCTTTGTTTGATCGTATTTTAATTCTGACTGAACACAACAATTTCTTCTGATCATACTTTTCTTTGCGTCATAGACATTTTTCATACTACTTACATGCACTTGAGTCTTCTTTTTATTTGCAAGATTTATTTTAGGTAACGGGTCTTCTCTTTTGCGTTTATATTTAAATTGCTCTTTAATTTTTGGATAAAGACTTTTGTATATTTTTTTTTTATTATTACTTTTGAGAATTTGCATACCTAATAATTTCTTTTGTTTGGCATTCGGTATTTTTACAAGTGTATACGATTTCTCAACACATTCAGTCCTTATTGTTTTATTATTATTATCAATTTTAGGGCGTTTTCCATGTGCATCAACTTTTTGCGTTATCATTCTTTCCATAAATTTTGACTCGTCATTTTTCTTATTCTCACAAACTTTTACATTTTCACAAAATTTAACATCTATAATACCGTCAGTCATACACATATTTTCGATATCATTTTCCTTACCATTTTGGTTACTGATTAACATAGATTCGCTTTCAAATATTATTTCTGAATTGTCAATTCTGACTTTATTTTCACCGTTACTTTGAGCAAAATCACCTTTTATACACAATTCATTTGTCAAAATTTCATTTTCAAATTCACTTTCATAATTCACAATGCCTCTTTCGGCGAATTTATCTTTATCATTCGTTACAGTTTCCATCAAATCGTTATCATCATCGCCACTAACAAGTGGCATAACTTGATTTTCATTTTTACTCTCATAAACTACAATATTTTTCGCGATACCATTTTCTTTATCATCAACCAAAATTATTTGTTCATTACTTTCATCAAAACTTTTATCAATTTTCAAAATTTCATCATCAATTTTGTTTTCAAAACTAGCCGTCATTTCTGCGGTATTTATATCGCTATTATTTGTCAAATGTTTTGCACTACTACCCTCATAATAAAACTCATCACATCTGCTTGCTTCATTTTTTGTTTCGTATTTAGGAAAATCTTCTATAAATGTTATAACAAACTTATCACTTGACTCGTTATTACCGCTGTATAAAGAATTTTGAAGCAAACTCGTGTCTGATTCACTTTCTCTTTTACTTTGCTCTTTCAAATTTGAATGGATTGTACTATTACAATTTATAGTTTGCTCTGCTAGCTTACTTTTATCCTCGTTTTTGCAATGTAATTTTTCTGACTCAACTGTTAATCGTTTATCAATGTCTCTTCCAATATTATTAGAATTTATTTGACTCACGTTCGATTTGACTTCACTAGTTGTTTTATGATCTATACCTGATCGCGAATGACTCAAATTATTGTTAAACTTTCTCTTACTCTCTGTATTTACATTATTTGTTTGAATTTTACTATTTAATTTAAGTTCGGCATTTGTTGATTTTCTGAATCTGGTGGTGCTGACTCTACATCGCGTCCCTCTAAAAAACAGTTTCGTGCAATATGTCCCGAATTGTTACATTTATAACATATAATATTCGATCTTTGCGTGTCGTCATTGTAAAATTGATTTCCATTGTTGCTATAATCATTGTTATAATTTGAGTAATTGTTGTTTGAATTATTGTTATTGAAATTTGAAAAACTACCATTATCAAAATTGTTGTTACTAAAGTTGTCGTTATTGTAATTATTGTTGTTACTGAAAAAATTTCTAAAGTTATTGCACTCGCTCATAATATGACCTACTTGTCGACACCATCCACAACATACTTCATTAATGTGATCAACTGTAACAACTTTCGATACTTTTGGTCTGTACTTGTTGCACTTCGACGTTATGTGATCTAATGCACCACAGTGTGCACATTTTTCTGACTGTTTTAGTTTGTTAAGTACTTCGCAATTAGCCGCAAAATGATCTAATGAACCGCAAAGTAAACATTTCATATTATTGGTCTGGGGTAAAGGTTTATCCACGCGAAAACCTGCTACTTTAATACAATCCACTGAATCATGACCATTACTATTGCAAAATACACATTCAGATTGTTTTATATTTGAATTACGCCTTTCATCTTCCGCTCTTAATTCATTTTCTATCTTTACGGCTGCTTCGTAAGCATTGTCTAAATTATCTACCATTGGCATACGTAATTTAATTTGCCAAATTAAACCGGCGTTAAAAGCTTCTAAAATATGATTTTCAATATTATTCAAAAGTATGTGTGCGTTATTGTTTCGGCTCTTCGCGGCCTCGAGGTCTTGTTGTAAGTCGACAACTCGCATGTAATATAACGAAACTTTCTCTTTTTCATTTTGATGAATACTACTGAGATCTTTAGTTAATTCAATGACTGATTTACATTCACCGTACGCATTCTCCAGAAATTCGCAAAATTTATCAATTTTTTTAAAAATATCAAGATTTATTATATCGGTACACGGGCCTATCATTTTCTCTTTTAAACATAAAATAAATTTTTCTTCGTTTTCATCTGTTAATGAATTTTTGGCAAGCCTACAATCCTTTACAAAGCGTCTCGTATTTTGCTTACTTGAACCGTCGAAATTCGTAATACCTTTGAGCAATTGTTTGAACAACGCGTTCTGTGATACAGTCGTCATTTTGTCGTCTAGGTTTCTAATACTTCACGGTTTTGAATATTATTTTTCCCTATCTCAGAGACTCTATCTTTGTTATTATTCTTATTCACAGCGAAATTTTTAAAAGGTTTGATCAATTTATCAATAAATTTAATATTTTGATCGTCCTCTCCGTTTTCACAAAATGTATCGATAAGGGATTTGTTAATATTCTCTTCGTCAATATCAAATTCTGATTTAATTGCTTCTACTTGATCTGGAAAAGTTTTCAAAAATTATGTTACTTTTAAGCTGACTTTCTTTTTTACATCGGGAGAGCTCGTGTGCAATTTAAGTGTTGGTGATTTCAGTGATAATTTATATAAATTGTCTAAATTAGTTTGTTCAATTATTGAGAACTCAGCTTCTGTATCATTGAGGCCTAATTCATTTCTTGTTTAAGGCATTAAATCATTTATAAGTTGTTTTCTTTCATCATTTAACAAATTAAACTGATAACGATTTTCTGAATCTTTCGTGTCGATCAAATCACTATAAACTTTACGAAGTCTTTTTAAAGTTGCATTCTCGAAAATCTCTGTCATCGACATCATACATACAATCCATCGTTATCATTACCAGAAAAATTTCTAAAATTTTTTGCAAAGGTAGTCCAATAGGAGTCCTTAGGCCGAATGCACCATTTTCTGTTACGGCTGGAGAGCCAATTTATAATAAATAATATATATTGATTTTATTCTGGCTGGTGACAACGAGGGAAGTATATATGATGTGATTGATTTGTGTGGAGTGGTAGTAGTCGTTTGTTATTTGTTATAATAAATTACAATGCAAACACATTCATCCATTCAGATACAAAAGTTTAACTTACACCTAGGCTTACTCAACTAATTAAAAATAATATTCATAAGCCTGGTGGACGATTCTCGGTGTAGATCGTGGCTCACTCTGCAACTGGTTGGCTGGCGTTCCTGGTTGGCTGCACTGCACTAACTGCACTAGTCTCGATTACAATTACACTCCGCATTGGACTCGCGGCACAATTTAATACAAGTCTAAATGATATAAAATCGCGGTACAAAGTGACGTGAGCTCTGCCCACCGAATAAGTTGATAGTCGAATCGCGCAGAGGCCTCCGTGGGTCCTCAATATATACTACTAGATTTTGCATACAAAATTAAGAGAAAGCACCTGTCAGCACCTGCTCATCCGTGAGAATCTGACGACAGCTTTTACTAATTTTTACGAGTTTATTGGTCTTCCTGTTAAACCGACATCGCCTCAAATTTAATCAATGCTTTGCATGGCGTGTCTATTTCACACCTTTGTAATAGGTGTCGATTTCGATGTTCTTTTCATAGAACTCGATGTTTTGACCAATTTTATAGTTTTGCTTTCCACTTAGCTTGATGTCGTCAGATCCCGTAGATCGAGGCTGGTGCGTCCGTTCGTAGAGTGAAATTTCATGTTTATCGTTATTTGAATATACATTATTTTTAAGAATATTATAATTGTTTATAATAAAATAATGGTGACGTGACACAAGTTCGATAATGAATTGTCTGCAACAAATACTATTTCTTAACTTATAATAAATATAGAATAAACTAAATTTTACTGATATTATAACCTTTCTAAAAAATAAAAATGCGGCCAATACATCAAATTAACTGGGACTTACCTATAAAATCAATCCTCGATAAATTAACGAACACACTCTCACACGTGGGCATCATGACGTAAGTGAAAATAAACCACGTCGGAAAGAGTTTAGCTCTGAGGTTAAAAAAATTCGGAGAAATGCCAAAGGAACATTAATTTCTGAGATGTCCAAAGGATCAACCAATGATTGGGCAGTCGTTAGCCGGGTCGAAACAATCATTGAAATCCTAACGAAGACCCAGTGCATTACATGGAGAAGGTCACCATCAAGGAAGAGCTCTGTAGTTTGCTTATTAGTGTAGAAAATAAATTAATTGACTACAATTATTACTAAATAGCATACATGTTTGTTTGAAACCAGTTCGTCTTGGAGGTTCTAACCAAACTGGTGATCTGCCATTTATTATTGTATCTGCAACGTAACGATAAACAAAACATGAATAATTAACGATTGCTCTAAATATTGCTAAAAAAAATTAAAAATTGTTTTAAACTCATTATATGAGTGAATCTCGTGAAATTTTGATATTTGAGTTAACTATACACTATTCGTGAAGAAACTTGAAAACTTGAAAACTTTCTCTTGTCTTGAGAATAATTTCTAATAATATCCAAACTCGAATTCATACAAAAATCATGCAATTTATGGTGTTTTTTATGAGTTTTTAAGTTCAATTCGTCCTACTTTTTATTTTCAAATTCTAATTATTCGAAAGCCCATCAAGCTTCTTTATCCAAATCATCACCAAGCAATGCTCAGAAACTGTACTTTTGAGAAAAATTTTACTGAATGGCATGCGTCGTTACCCGAGCCTTTTACTTTTTTGAGAAAAACTAAACTCAATTTTTAGTATTTTAAATATTTTTTTAATAAAATCCTATTATCTCAAAAAGCTATACAGTGAATCATCACCAAATTATGAGGAAAAATAGTTTTTTAGTAGTAGAAAGGAGTGGTACATCTATTTTTGATGTGCATACTGTCCATATGCAAAAATGTGAATGAATCTAAGCCACTGTGATGAGATCTACTACATTGAATTGTTCGTCATAAGAAGATCGGCGTTATTATTGTTTCTGAACAGTATAAAAAAATTGACCGTTACACTTGGGTATCAGATGCGAAGAGCCTTGTGGCTTTGGGAGCTGTTAGTAACAATACAATAGCGGGAGATTACTGTCGTTTTCTTGCACAAAAAATAAAGAATCACATCTAGACGCTTTGACATGAGATGGTATTCAGCGTGCCACTACAATTGATTGTAGGCCGCGTAATTAATATTGTCATCTTCTTGTCGTTACTCAAGTACGATGAAAGCTCGCAAGTTGCTTTGTACAGGGTTCGTGCTCATTGCTGAAGGCTGAGGTGACCCTTGCATTATAAGACAAAGCAATTTGCGACACAGTGAATACTCTATGACCCGGCACCGCCGAAACTTAAGAGATTAAGATGATGTTTTGAGCTGATAGTTAAAAATGTTCGTATAGATCGAAATTGAAAACTTTTTTTTAGTAAAATAGGTTTATACTACACCTGATTGACAAAAAACTCCTAACCAAGCTCTGAAATCCCAATTACGTTACTTTTTTTATAATACTACATTTTTGTGATTAGAATGACTAATCTCGCGATTCTGATGTGAGTTCATTAATATAAATGGGATCTCAAAATTTTTAGAAAAGTACACTCACACCTAAGCAGAGTGGAATTTTGAAAAAAAATTGATCCAAAAGCTTTGCAATTTAGCGTTGATAAAATATTTATTTTCTTAAAATTTCTCGTATTTTGATGTGCACATTGAATTTTACACAATTTTTGTTCATTCTGCTCCGTTTTGATAAAACGTGGTACTTTTCTGAAGATTTTAAGACCCCATAGATCAATATTCGCGTAATGAGTCAATCCGATCACAATATTTAGTATTATGAAAAAAGAAATGTAATTGAAATTTTGAGTGAAGGTAGAAGTTTTTTCATTCAATCAGAGGTAGATAAACATATTTTACTGTCCAAAAAAATATACTTCGACTACTTCGATTTATATGGACATTTTTAAATATCAGCTCGAAACACCATCTTGTCCCCTTAAAGTCGCAAGCACTACTAGAACCAAAACACGATATTTGAAAAAAGGTGAAATAATGATTACACCTAAGTGATTAATTACACAGCCATACTAAAAAAGAGTTGGTGTCCAGAGACCAAACCCACTGGACACTATATTTTCGGGGCTGCTGAATCCGGATCCGATGTCAGTTTTTCTTGGTTGGGTCATTTTCAAGGTCATTTGAGGATGCTCAATCCAAATCTTAAGTCATATGTTCTCTGCGAACTTACCTTCAAGGTTATCTGAAGATTAAACTAAGAGAACTCGATATGAAATTCTAAAAAAATCACCATTAAATTTTGGAGGTCGCTGAATCTGGATCAAAGGTCATTTTGACTATATCCGGCCATGCAAAGATCATTAGAAGGTCATTAGAAAATCAAATCTCATAAATGCGATAAAATAATTAAAGATCTTTAAATGTTATATCCTCTTCAAGCCTACCATAAATTTTAAACATAGACTTGAAATAGTAGCTACTACGAAGTACATTCATGAATTATTTTTAATATATTTTAAAGGTCTCAAACTGCGACTCCTCATAAGTACAAGAAAGGAGATGTTATAATAACTCCTAATGGAATCCGCAAAAAATTTAATGGTAAACAATGGCGACGTTTATGCAGTAAGGATCCATGTACCAAAGAAAGCCAGAGGCGAGGCTTTTGTTCGAGACATTTGAGTCTTAAAGGTTCTAGTTTGCGCTCTCTCAGTCGAAATAATACTAAATTGGATAGTGAAGATACATCGAGGGATTCAAATGATTCTCCGGGTATTGCCAGTGGACGTATTACTGGACGATTTGATCCAGAAGAAACGGAAGCAGCAAATATGTTAGGTAAGTAAAACCATTTGAATGCTTTCTGATCATATATTTTAATTATATCTACGAGTCATTCTTCGTATCAAAAGTATAGAAGACTCTAAGACAATATTCTATTAATTATAGTCTTGCCAAAGTTTTAATGAAGCCCCTGTAAGGGTTGTTCAGTTCTCACCGAGCATGTACAAAACACTTACACATACATGGCAATAGCAGCAGCTAATGAGACGCGCGTATTTTGTTTTCGCGTTATTGAATTATCTAGCATAAAGATTTTACGCATAAAATTCGACACGCCGGCCGGCACGCGATGTAGTTTGTTTTTACAACCGCTAACTTGATTCCCGCGTCGTAACGTGTACGGCATACACTGTACGCGCGCTAACACCTTCCATCTCACGGCCATATGTGTGCGTGATTCCCAGTGTCGTTAAGATACTGTCGTTCGGTGGCTCTGAGCTGCACACTATTCAGTCTAGCCTTGACTACCACCACGATCACATCGAATCGAATTAATCTGAATTCTCGACGAAACAATGGTATTGAAGCAATCCTTACTACCAGACACTGACACCAATTTTTATTAGTTGTTTTATAGTGTAATATTAACCCATCAAGTCTCAAGAGGACGTTTTTTCTACACTTTATTTGACTACATTATTTTTGGTGAAATTGGGGTAAAAAATATGAGAGTAACCAATTCTAATGTTAAATTTAATGACCTTTCAGAATCTGATCTCAGATTTTCTAAAAAATGAACAACTGATTTTTTTGGAATTCTCCAAACAATCAGTTTTGGCAGTAATTCAAAATCACAAATTTATGAGTATTGATTCTCCACGTTAGATAAGATAAGACGAAGATTTCAAGACTTATGATGATTTAAGAGTTCCAGGTTCGACTCCTGTTCGAGGTTGAATTTTTTCATTCGTGTACGATGTAAATTGCATTGTGGCTTTGATAATATAGTCATCTTTAGATGTTTTCAGCTCCAGAGATTTGAAATTAGCGTAGAAAAATTTCACGGATTTTAAATTATAACGTGGAGAATCAATAATCATAAATTTGTGAGTTTGAATTACTGCTTAAACTGATCATTCGTATAATTCCAAAAAAAATCAATTGTTTATCGGTATAAATCGACAGAATCGTGAACACGATTAAAAATTATTTTCGAAAAAATGATCAGGTCGAAAAGTGAACTTGATTTTATCCAAAAAAAAAACGTGATTTTGAAAAAAAAATTTTTTTATTTTTCAATTTTCCAAATGGAAACCATTTGAAATCTCTTGGAATTCGTGCAAACATCGCGTCCTTGATACCTAAACAAACAGTTAGCGGTGTTCCGTTTGAAAAAATTAATGTTTGAACACACAAAATGACGAAACACGAAAAAAATGAATTAAAAATTCGATGAATGATATTTATTATTTGATAATAAATGTATTTCTGTTTTAGTTCATGAATAATTGTTCCGTGGTTATTTAGTAAATACTATACATCTGGAAAACTTCAGAAATAAAACTTCACTTAACTATTTGCAATGAAAGATGCCATTAGTTTTATAATGTACTATTAAAGCATACACACAGTAAATTAGGGCGATTTGAGAATATTATCCTTACATTCACAATAAAAAATAAGATATACATATGGGCTAACCCATAGTTAGCATGATGGCCAGAAAATTTTTTTTTCTTTAATCATGTACTTTTAACGAATACGTTGGAATGTGAAAGTCCTGAACGTTTCAGCCTTCTAGGTCCAACCCTATTGGATTAGCATTTTCTTGTGTTGACCGAAGTTTATCTGGCAATAAAATAAGTACTAAAACAGCTCTCAATCAGCTTAAAATACTATTCAAACTATCTATGCATTGTGATTCTGTTCGGTGAACATTTGAAATCTTGTTAATTGTTACCGCTAGTGGAAAAAAACACCTTCTTGGTGTTTAAAGCATCTGGTATAATGTGAGAGAGCGTGTGTGCTACACAGACTAAATGTTTTTTTTTTCATCTAACTCTTGGAAAAATTTCTTAACATTACTAGCTCCATCAGAGATTATAGCTGTTAATTTTTTTCATTATTCTTCGGAATTGTTAAGATACATTTTTAGCTGTGTGACGATCCATAGATAGATAGAAGTTTTAGTATAATGAATAGTTATACCCATGTAACTTGAATTAGTGTTATCTGTGCATACGTCGCAGGTGAAGCAATGATATAATAAGGACTTAATTTCTTTTATGAAATTAGTTTTGATGACTTTCTATCTTGCTTCATGTTAATGGATTTTGGTTTTAGCAGATGGCACTTTGTATAAAGGGGTTACAATCTTAATCAATGTTTTAAATCGTTTATTCTTTAGGACTGAGATAGTCTGACGATTTTTTGAAATAAAAAACAAAATGGCATTATTTATTTTGTCACATTGAGTACCTCCATCTGAAAAAACAATGAGAATTAATAAAAAATATTTTCTTGTTAATTTCAAAATGTAACTAGTTATAATACATACCTTTAAAAGATTGCATTTTCTTGAAGGCGGTGTTTATGCTCTCGGTATCTTTAAATGATGAAGCAGATATTTCCTGAAAAAATTATTAAATATATTAATTTAAAAAAAAGTTTTGGATCTAGCTATTCATGCACAACTTATTTAAAATATTTTTATAAAGCTCAAATTATTAATAAATAAAATATAACTTGTTAGGAATTTCTGCAGATCTGCTTTTTTTTGGTTGGAATCTCAGATTGTTATCTTTTTGGCAGTGATTACATTTTATTTTATCACTAATTTTGGTCACGTGTGTCCAAATCCGATTTTCACGGCGGCATTGATGTTTACTGGAAAAAAATTATTTTTAATTTAAAAGATTGTTTTTAAAGTACAATGCATACAATAAAAGCAAAAGAATTTATTACAATTAAATAATTGCAGCTACTTCACGTATCGTTGACGATTCCTTAGACTCAATCTGTTTAACTTCCCCTTCAACAATCGGCAGTGGTGTTCCCGAATCTTGATTAGTGTTGATTTCCGATGCAGAAGCTTTTTTTTATCCAAATCTGGCAGGGGTATTTTATTAAAAAAACCAAATTAAATTCATGACCATCAGGATTATGAACGATGAAAAGCGAAAGTAAGTTGTTGATGCAGCAGTAAAATACGATTGGGTTACTGGTTGAATTTTCGCACGCAGGTAGAAGAGCAATTTTCAGCAGATTGCGATTCTGAATTTCAAGAATTTGAAAACACGCTTTGCCCGGTGTATCCTCCTGCACGATCGGTCGCACACTTCGTAGAACTTTTTTTCTAACGGCTCAAAAAAGTGTCCAAAGGCTGTGTGCAATGAGAAGTATGTGGAGGAAGTGTCAGTGTGTGAATTCTATGTATCTTGAACAAATCTATAAGTTCCAAAGAGCGTGATGACTATCGTAATTATCTACACTCGGCAACCAAATTATCGCAACAAAAAAATTCATCGAAATTTTGTCGATTTTCAAATGCTTCTATCTTGGGCTAAATTTATCGTATCGACACGCTTTTTTTTTAATTTCTTGGACATTTTGTCCTCTTTAAATTCATATAAATTAAGATAAGATTTGAGTTAATGTTGAGTTACCAGTAGTATCTGAGCGTGACCCTAAAAATTACTGAGAAAAAATGACTGTTTGAACGTGTACCAGTACCACAGTGATTTTTTTATCGAAATCTAACATACACCATCGCAAAGTGCTCTTTTTAACGAGTAATTTAAAAAAAAGGACCTCTCTACGATTTTTTTAACGCTCTGTAGGTCGATTTGAAGGTACGGTTTATGTACGCAAAATGCCCAGAAAATCGTCTTGATTTCAGCTAAACGGGGGATTTTACGTACTTTAAATGGTATCTTCAAAACGACCTACAGAGCGTTAAAAAAATCGTAGAGAGGTCATTTTTTCTAAATTACTCGTTAAAAAGAGCACTTTGCGATGGTGTATGTTAGATTTCGATAAAAAAATCACTGTGGTACTGGTACACGTTCAAAGAGTCATTTTTTTTTCAGTAATTTTTAGGGTCACGCTCAAATACTACTTGTAACTCAACATTAACTCAAATCTTATCTTAATTTATATGGATTTAAAGAGGACAAAATTTCCAAGAAATTAAAAAAAAAGCGTGTCGATACGATAAATCTAGCCCAAGATAGAAGCATTTGAAAATCGACAAAATTTCGATGAATTTTTTTGTTGCGATAATTTTGCTGCCGAGTGTATTAACAGCAATGCAGGTTGTAGTATATGATTTTTAGTTGGCATGTGATCATTTGTTAATATTGTCTTGCTGATCTCCCGGAGTTGGGTGCAAGCGTGCTACAAGTGATTTTAAGTATTTGAAGAATAAGTCTTCATTGCTCCAAAAAATTTTACGTTCGAATACGCATTTTATTTTTTGTTCAAGGTAATTTTGGGGGCGCTACAGTTAGAAAATGAAGTTCTTACTTGAGCTTAATTTTAGGTTAAATCGGGGTTTTATTCGAGCCTGTAGCGCCCTTGAAGTGGCCTTGAAAAAAAAAGAAATACATTTTTCAACGTAAAATTTTCCGCTCTTTTCAAATTTGCAATAAAAAATAGGGGTTTCCATTTGAAAAATCGATTATTGGGTCGCTGTAGCTTTGAGGTCATGTTCCAGGTCAAATCCAAGGTTACCATTGGATTCCCCATCAAAAAATACGTCGGATATGAGGTTTTAGTTTTTTTTCTCTGCATATTTAGCCCGCTTTTAGGAGGTTTCCATACTTTTGTGACACCTTGTATAATAGATCCCATGTCCCACTTTTTTTTGACCTTTTGGATTCCAGTTTTATCCATATTAAAGATTCTACTACGAATAAACTTATCCTGACGTCATGTTATATAGGTTGTTGAAAAATTTAACCATTTCAGTTTTATTGAAACTATTGATTCTATAAAAGCTAGTTGCTTCAGGTTTTCACACGTTGAAGGGCTTATATATACAATCAAAATTTTTTCATGCTACCCCAGCCGAAACTAATTTTTTTCATATCGGCAACCAAAACGAAAAAGTTCATTTCTGCTGAGGGATTCATGAAAAATAGTATACGCACCTATCAAGCGAAAAAGAAAGCCTCAGAACACATGTTTATCAGCCACGGCCGATAATTACATATACTCTGAGGCTTTCCATCTTTTTGCTACCTAGGCACGTTATACTATTTTATTAAATTTTTGAGTGGGGCTTTTCTTCCCCTTTTCATTGCACGTTTCGAAAGTTCAAAATTTTGATTTTGCACTAAAATACAAATGGTTCCCTGAGCCTTTTTCGTATACCTTATTTTTCGTACACCGTTAAAATTTTTCTTTTTTTTGCGTTTTCTGGCAAATAGTGTTTTCGGTCATCTTTTGTAACTTTCAGAGAGTACCTATGGAGCTTTAGCATCAGGGTCCCGTACACTTCTTCAGAACATCAATGCTTACAGCCACTACCACGGGTGAGACAATTGACCTTAAAGGTCACTCTCAATACAAACAGTTTTTTTATGATTCAAATTTAGGCAAAAATGAATAAAGTTATGTGCTTGACTGTTCATGCAGAGCAATGTGGGTCGCCTCGACCGTGGTAGTATCCGTAAGCATTGAGCTTAACCTTCACATAGTCGTTGAAATTTAATTATAAAAACCAGTTTGTTACAATATGAAGATTCAAATAATTTTTTATTTACTTATAATAGGTGTTGTGAAATGATAATAATTAGTAAATAAAAAAGGTTTTGGATAGTTAATGATATAAATTAAAAATAAGTTTATTGAAGTCATTAAATGTGTAGTTTTTTATTCATACTTTCTACTTCATTATCATTTAAACAATGAAAACTTTTTTTAGTATCTCTGGGAAGTTCACGTTCTGCTACGCCAGCATTTTCTTCGCCTTCTGCACATGGCTCAGCGAGCCCGCAAGTTGATGTTTCGCCTATACCATCATTTGGGGTTTGTCAAAAAAATGTCTTCATGCCTATAGCTAATCCAGAACAAAATGAATCACAAGTGTTACAATATGCCCACGAGTGGAAACAGTCCCAAATTAATACAAAATTTTTAATTCAATATAACACAGGGCCAGTAGTTAAGCCTGAACCCAGTAGAATTCAACAAACTCACAGGTTGTCACCGCAAGGAATTAATAATTTCACTAACAATCCACCAGTGAGTGTCATTCGGATGTCACCAATAAAGACACAAAAAATATGTTCAGATAAAAATACTGAAGCTGTAGAATTAAACAGAAATATTATTTTCAAGACCTATGAAAAAACGTCTACTATTCAATGTCCAGAGATCCAAGCAGTTTCTAGCTCCTGTCTTCGTGGAAACTTTAACTTACCCAACAAAGCTGATGTATCGAAAAAATGTACACTCTCAGATGATATTAAAGAAAAAGATTTACCAGATCATTTTTCAGAATGCATTCAAGACACAACTCCACTTGTGAACAATCACATATCAAGACCGACTTCGATACCTTCGGAAAACAATCAATTATCTATGACATCCATCACCAATCATATTTTAACGACTAAAAGAACTCCTTATTTAATAACAAAGCCGCAAAATACTCAACCACCACCTCCATGCAAAGTTTTATTATCTAATACTCCAGATGAAATTGAAACTACATCGTTGGACATTGTCGAACAGGTTTGTAATCATTACCAAAAATTTAATTTTCAATAAATCAATTACAAAAACTTTGAGGGTAGATCGAAACATGAATGATTTCGAAAATCACTTATTAATAGTAATGAAAGTTATTCTTGTGGTATCTAAAGAGAATACCTGCAACCTGGACCCGATCAAATCACTATTTCTACTCTGACCTTACGATAGTGTCCATTTATCGCTTATTTTCGGTAATTTTATCGTTTTTTGATGTTTATACCGTGCAAATGTCTTTATTATTTTTTCAAACCATAAAGAGTCTTGAAAAATACCCGAAAGATGTTATTTTAACTGTTACAGAGTCAAAATTTCAATAATAAAATTTATTTCTATGGAAATTATCTCATAAAATCAAGCCCAGAGTTTTACACCTGTGTCGTAGAACCCAGCTAGAACTGATGATATATATAATCTTGGTCACAGGGGTGTCATTTCGTTCATTAGATGTATGGCTACAAACGCACGCATTTCCAGATGTCCTCATTAATCATAAACAATTTGACAGATAATATTTGGCCAATTCTTTGTGAAGTCGAATGGTAAAAAAATATTTTTTTTTTGCAAATATAAAAAACTTGTTGTATTTGGTGTCAGATTTGTCTCAAAAAAATTTTAGAAAAATTGGGGACTTCTACGACACTTTTTCAGAGACCCAAAGTTGGCTATTTTAGCGTTTTTCGAAATTCATGAAAAATCACAAATATTCAAATAATTCCTAGATTAAAGTAGAATGATTTAAACGAAAAAGTGACTATGAGCTTTTTTGTTGACAATTGTCCAAATTTTCAGAAAAAAATCATTCCAAAGTGATTGGAGCCACATAAAGACGTATAGAGTGGAAAAGACTTGAAAAAAAAAACAAAAAATAAGAAATCTAATCGAGTTCGAACCTGATTTTCATTCCCAAAACTATGTAAAAAGCTTCCTAAAGATGTCAACTACTGCCTGATAAAGTTTTGTAATGGGTCTTACAGTGTAACGCAATGTAGACAACAATGTGTGTCGAAAAATGTGCAAAAAGGGTCATACATAGGTCCAAAATGCCTAAAATCGCCAAAAACACCCATTTTCAGACCTTTTTTGCACGTTTTTCGACACACATCGTTGTCTACATTGCGTTACACTGTAAGACCCATTACAAAACTTCATCAGGCAGTAGTTGACATCTTTAGGAAGCTTTTTACATAGTTTTGGGAATGAAAATCAGGTTCGAACTCGATTAGATTTCTTATTTTTTGTTTTTTTTTTTCAAGTCTTCTCCACTCTATACGTCTTTAGGTGGCTCCAATCACTTTGGAATGATTTTTTTCTGAAAATTTGTACCATTTCTAACAAAACAGCTCATGAGCACTTTTACTTTTGATTCATTCTACTTTAATCTAGGAATTATTTGAATATTTGTGATTTTTCATGAATTTCGAAAAACGCTAAAATAGCCAACTTTGGGTCTCCGAAAAAGTGTCGTAGAAGGCCCCAATTTTTCTAAAATTTTTTTCAGACAAACCTAACATCGAATACAACAATTTTTTCATATTTGCAAAAAAAAATATTTTTTTACCATTCGACTTCACGGAGAATCGGCCATATATTGTTACAGGCAAAACCCGATTTGGTTAGGCAAAAGTAGAAATGCCTATGATTTTCGGACATAACCGAAATGCCGAAAACCGAAATCAAATTATAGAAAATTCCTAAACAATTTAGGCAAATCCCGAAATGACTGAACATTTTCAGGCAAAACAAGTAATGCCTAACCGAATTTAGGCATTTTCGTGTATCCCCATCGGAGACGTCGGTCGGTCGTGATATTATGAACATAAATACTAATTCTTTCTTTACGACTGTACGAATTTTCTTGAAATGATATATTATAAACAATGAATAATAATAAGTCGTGAATTTATTATCAATTATCAATTTATTAGCATAAAACTAATTTAAAGTTAAGTTCTAACCTTGAGGCAATTATTGCCAATATCATATTATTGATAATTCATTACTTATTTAGACAAGTTGTGCTATTGTGGCATTTTGAGTTACAAAGCACATTATTTTTTTTAACAAATGCAAATTCTGGTAGAACAGTTTTTTACCAGTACATTTGAAGAAGCCTTGGCCCCCAGAAGTTGATTGTTTCGCTGCTATTGTTCTAACAGACAAAATTTCCGAAGTCGGCACATCTCTTCGATTCAAAAATTGTTGCTGAAATATATCTAATTCTGATCTTCAAAAAAAAGAAGATTGTACGTAAAAAAGGAAAAGTAAGCTCTGCTTCAATTTTTTGGGGTAGCTGAAGCTCGCTTTCATTGTCTTCGTCTTGCCGAATGCCTTGTATTAAATTTATGCGTTCATCTTTCTCTCTGATCGGTAACAGAAGTACCATGGGGCATTTACTCATATTCGGAGAACTTTCGATTAGTATCTTTCTATGATGTTGATGTTGAATTTCGATGCTGCACCCCACAGCTGGATTCCATACGTCCATATTGGTTTAATTAAACTTTTGTAGAGCAGCAGCTTCTTATCCAGTAAGAGTACGGAATTTCTCCCTAGCAGCTAATAGAGTTTACTCGACTTCGGGCCTAACTGTTTTTTTTGTCCAAATATGCGGTCTCAAGGTAAGACGTCGATCAAGATGTATTCCAAGATACTTGACTTCGTCGCACTGGCGCACAGGAGTTCCGTTGAGTAGCACTGTTGGGCACGAGTCCTTGCGGAGTGTGAAGGTGATATGAGCTGACTTATTTTCGTTTATTTTGATTCTCCAGCTTTTGAACCATTTTTGAACTGCTGTTAAATGTTCTTGTAGATTGTTTGAGGCGATGGTTGGGTCCGGGTGTGAGCTTATCAAGGAGGTATCGTCTGCGTACGTCGCTGTGGTGACATTTTCAGCTAGTGGAATGTCTGATGTATAAATGAGATACAGTTAGTAGATGAGTGGGTCCGAGTACTCCCTTGCGGAACTCCTGCATGGATGTAGTGCAATTTGGTGATTTCTTTATTCACTTTCACTTGAAATGTGTGGTTTTCGAGATATGACTTGAGCAGCAGGTAAAAACTGTTCGGAAATTTCAGTCTGATTTTGTGGAGTAAGCCTGTGTGCCATACCTTGTCAAGGGCTTGAGCCACGTCCAGAAAAGCGGCCGAGCAGTAATGTTTCCTCTCAAACGAATTACGTATTTCAACAACTATTCTATTCACTTGTTCAATGATGGAGTGGCACACACGGAACCCAAATTGGTGCTCTGGAATTATGCGTCTTTCTTCTGGCAGCGACTTCAGTCGGCTTAGTATAACTTTTTCGAAGATTTTAGAACGTAACCGTAGAAGACTGATAGGCCTGTATAACGTTACTAGATCGGATGGTTTTCCAGGCTTTTCTATCAGTATGATTTGAGCAACTTTTCACTAGCTGCAGAAGAATTTAAACCGTAGGCATGCATTTACTATTATGGTGATGAATCGCACCGCTTTTAAGGGAAGTTCTTTCAGTGTTTTGCTATTTATACCGTCGTAGCCATGCGCTTTCCTGTTTTTTTGTTCCTTGATTAGAGTTTTAATTTCGTGTAATGTAGCACTTTTCAATTCTCCCTCATTTTCAGTGGCTATGTTTGCTTGTAGGAATATTTCTTCTTCTATTACTGTTATTTGTCTATGTGGAGTTTCGAAGACTCTGCTTAAATGATCAGCAAAAACTTTAGCGTTTTCCTTTTCACTTCTTGACCAGTTATTTCCTGTCTTGATGGGTCGTATGAAACGTTTTGGACGTTTTAAAAATTTTGTAGCTTTCCATAAAGAGTAGTCTATAGCTTCCGTGAGTGAGAGATTTTGTAAATAGTTTTTGATTTTTGCATTTGCATTTTCACGAAGAATTGTTTTAAGGTCCATTGTTGCTTTATTTAAACGGGCTTTATTTTATCTACTACGCGTATGCGCTAGTCTTGACTGTATAATGGTAGTCTACTGGTGACTAACTTGATGATCAAACTCACTTTTCACATGAATATGTAAAATTTCACATTAGAAATTGAACCAATTAACTCATATTTATTACTTATTTGACAATGAATCCTATCAAAAAAATCAATAAAAAAATTTTTTATTTTTGAGATTTTAAGTACTTTTCACCTCTTAATATAGGAACCACGTTTTCATTTATTTTTTCAGTCGAATTACAATGCTATACGAGCGAGTATCAATTTTAGCGAGCCGAGGAACACTGAGAATGTCGCTAAACACTTGAAGAAAAGTGTAACGTGAATAGTTGTCGTTAAAAAATTATTTCGTTTCGTTGGCCTTTATATACCGATCATTTTGAGTCCACCGAATTAACGCACAATAACTCAGGAATTGTTTGTTAGTTCATTATTTTCTCTTATATCTAAATAAACCTATTAAGTCACTATTGCCATATTGAGTTTTTCGAGATATTTAGCTCTGAATGTTTGATGGCGATTTTATCAATGAAAATTGAATATTTCGGAAAATTTGATATCACCATCGGAGAGCTGAAAAAATTTCTATTGAATCCATTAATTAGTTAATTTTTCTAAGAGTATTTTAATACTTTTACAGTGACATTTAGAAATTGAGCAAGTAGCCGTATTTACGTGAAAATATGACTTATATTTGACCACATTTGTACCTTGTGAAAAATTTTTTCTGAGTTTTGAAATTCCAAGATTTAAACTTCATTCAAAAGATACCCTTGACACAAGTAAAAAAATGTGCAACAATTGTCAATTGACTCTAAAATGGCTTTGTGTCAGTTGTTTCAAATGTATAGTTATATTAATAAAGATAAGTAAAAAAACGAGATAAAACCCATCGAAAAATTTTTTATTATTGAAATTTTAACTCTGTAACGGTTAAAATAAAATTTTTCGGATATTTCTCAAGACTTTTTACGGCTAGAAAAAATTTTAAAAAATAATTAAATCAATAATTAAAACAAAAAAATAAAATTACCGAATATCAGC